TTGCCCTTCTGAACCGCCAACAACCCGCTTCTTTTGACACGTTTCCAGCGCAAATTTTTTTATTTTGGGGGATTTTTTGGAGATTAGGGGATTTAAATGTTTTTAGGGGAGATCTTGGTGACGAGATCGACTACTGCTTGCAACAATCTGTAGCTTCGCCTAGGGTAGTAGGGGTAATCATTCGAGCTGTCCCTCACTCTAACTCAAAGGGCACGCCCCCCAGAACCCTAACCACTACCCCAAATTCTAGAGATATTGGATGTCTCGAATCATAGGCTCGAATGAAAACTCCTCTCTTCGTTTCCTACTGCTGAAAAAAGTGGTGCGAATCTCGTCTGTGAGTCAGTACTGATAAAATGACCTGGTCATAACAGCTTATCAGAACTTTCATTCAATATCAGTCTTAGGTGTCCTTCAATTTATGAAGTCACGTTTCTTGGCATTACGCTTCTAGTGGTCCAATTTTTGAGTAAGGCTATACACATAATCACTGATTAGATGGACCAAAATCCATTTGATTTTCTTGCTTTGTGCCAGAAAGTTTGGGTTCTGGCCATGTCATGTTCGAAAAAAGACACTATTGATTCAATAGTATTGACAGTAATAAGAGAGAATATACATCCGCTGTTGCATTTAATAAAGCTCAAATTTAAAAAGGCCGTGCTCACACAATGTCAAGTGTGAAATCTTGCCCTTGGCGTTGTCCCAAAAGGGCGATTTTAATACCTTTCCCATAAATTCCTCACCCACCTGATTTGCTAAGCGACAAATGTGAAAAATGTAAACGTTACGGTACTTAGTCTAATCATTCAATTTTGGGATGGCACCTGATGTTTGGTGAGACAATAGATTTGCCGTTCGTGTGAATGGCGATCATTTTGGAGAAATAAAAATAGACTGGGTTTAATTAGCGATAGAGGGATGAGACCAGACTCTAGAACAAAATAATTAAATAAGCGGCAGATATCAGTAATTCTGGGTCTTCTGAGTTCAGTTTTCTCCAATAGTAGTACCGGTAATTATTCATATAAAAATTCATCATAACTTCATTCTTATCTTAATCCCTCGTATCTACCCCCTCCGCCGTTTTTTGGCAGCATGACTAGAATCAAAATAATAACGGGAGCAGGGGTCTGGATTCGCTTCGCTTCGCTTTCGCTTTTTGTTATTTCAATTCGCTTCGCTTCGCTTTCGCTTTTTACCAAAAATTTTCGCGAAAATTTCGCTCAAAAGAAATCTTTCCAGGAATTGAAAACTTCGCCTTTTTTGCTTAGCTTTAGTTTAAACTCAAGTGGAAATTTTGCTGAATGAGCTAAGTTGGCACTTGGAAAAGCTGAGCTCAGAGAAGTTTTACTGTTTTTAAAGTAGACAATATTCTGAGCTGCGCTGAGCTGAGCTGTCCTTCACAAAAAATCATTGAGCTGAGCTGACTCTTCAAATTCATTCAGTTAATTTGAGCAAGGCAGTCAATATTAAAAAATGATTGACCTGAGCTGAGCCACACAGCTTCTTCAGCTCACTAATCTCAGAAAATTTGCAATTTGAAAAATCGGAGAGGGAGTCCGAATGGAGTGGTCTCCATTTTCCTGAGTCGCCGTTTGCCCAAGATCTCTGTTTGTCCAACTTGAGGAATCGGCGAATTGGACAAACGGCGATGTATTATAATTTAAATCGATTGATCTTATAACTTCATATATTGGCCTCCCGACAATCAATCCTGACATCACCATCTTCAATCCCGGCTTCAAAAATTTCGATCCTTGCTTTTCAGACGTCAATCAATCTTGGCATCTCCAGCACCGATCCGGGCGTCACTAATAAAAATGAAACCATACATAAAATGGACACTTTTTCAAAGGTTAAATATTTCCGGAAAATTTTCGCATTTTTTCGCTTTTTAGAAAAATTTTTCGCTTCGCTTCGCTTTCGCTCACGAAATTTTCATTCGCTTCGCTTCGCTTTCGCTTTAAATTTTTGAAAAATTTTCGCTTTCGCTTCGCTTTCGCTTTTCATTTTTGGCCAAAATCCAGACCCCTGACGGGAGCGTTTAAGTTTATTAAATATAATCGCTGGCTTATTCCGTTTCTTGGAGGTGGAGCGCGAATCCGTGTGATTCGGCGCCAACTCACCGCCGGATCAATCTTTGTCTCGCCTTTCAAAAAAGTAGAAATCACCAAAATAATTACCCTGATTATGTGTATAGACTTACCCGAAAGTTGGAGCGTGACTTCATAAAATTGAAGAAAAATGACTGAAAAAGTTGTCCAAAATCTATAAATTTCGGGGCTTCCTTATTTTGCCAAAAAATGACAATAATGAGGAAGGCCCTGAAAAAAGAGTACTTTTGTGCCAAAAAGAACCTGGCAATAATTCGTCGTTGCTGTCAGCCGCGCCCAGCTGGAGGCAGCAAATTCAAATTTACTTTCCCAAGCAGCAAATTAATGAAAAAGAATGTCCTTTTTTATTTGTAAAGAATCAAGGCACACACATGCCATTTTCTTCGCAAAATGCCAAAAGAGAGCAAGTCCCCAAAAATGGTCAATTGAGCCCATTATGGTGTGTATTTGCCTTCTCAAGGGCTTGAGCAAAGGTCGCCAGCCAAAGTCAAGTGTAAAAAATCTGGACGGATTTTTTTCCTACAAGGACTCTCCATTAGCTCAATTGGCACTTGAAAACTTGCTTGGAGGGAATCTTTATTTTTTCCCTGGATTCAAGAAAAAAGGAGTTATCAGAAGATTTTTAAAGCAATTCTTACCAACGAGACACTTTTTTTTTGCCGGTAAAGTTTAAACTCGGCAACCTGTGTAGAAAACCTGACTCAGGGTCTGAAATATCCCAAATAGTAATATTATCGCGGAACGGCTTTTTTTCTAAACAAAGCCGCAGAGCGGCTATTAAATTGAGATATTTCAGACCCTGAGTCAGGTTTTCTATACAGGTTGCCGAGCAAAGAACAGGGCTTCTCTAGAATCAAGATCTGAAAAACCATAAGATCGATATAATTTCATTGAGAATAAAATTGAATATTTTTTTATCACTGGAAAACTCCAACTAACTGATTCATTGTCATGAAACCCGTTATTTCAAAAAACTACCACTCTAACACCAACATAAAACAAGGTCTTTGGAATCCTTATTTTTGAAAAAAAAAAGAAGCTTGAAATCGTGATTGTATATTCTAGCCGCGGCTGGCAACAATAAAGAGTGCGAAGCCATGGGCCCATAAAGCACACATTTTCAAAGCCGACCTCAATTTTTCGCTCAAAATATTTATTCCGCGCGAGTTGCTCAAGCCCTTCTGATCTGGGCCGGTGGCGGCTGGCCAGCGCCTTTAACAAAATTTCAAAATATTTTAAGCAAGCATAATTGGTGTTTATTTGCTGCTCCTCGTTTTGGAAAGTTTTCATCTGACAATTTCAAAACAATCGAACAGAAAAAAAAGATGATGATGAGATTGAAGAGATAAGACGATAAAAAAGTTTGTTTAGAGATCACCCGCTGAGAAAGCTGCTCAGGTGCGAGCGAAGGAATTACTCGCAGCGGGGGATTACTGTTCTGAGCACGAAATTTTCGAGGAATTAGCGCCTTCGATTTCTGATTGCTCGGGTTTTGGGGATTCCCAGAATATCGATTTGGAGCTAGAAATTTGGAAAAAAGAACCATTCCTGGCCGATTTCGAACGAAAATCTTAGAAAATTAAAAATTAATTTCGACTCGAAAATTTTTACTCGAAAATTTGACTCGAAAATTTTTACTCGAAATTCTTTACTCGAAAATTTAACTCGAAAATTTTGACTCACATTTTGACTCGAAAATTTTGACTGAAAAATAAAAATCCATGATTGATTTTAAATTTCGAGCCAAAATTATTTCTGTACAGAAAATTTTTTTGGGACTTTTTTTAAGTTTTGGCGCGAAAGAAAGTGTAAATATTCTCAACCCTTTTTTGATGTTCAAGCCCCGAAAATCGCCAAAAACAGAACTCTTGTTTCGCCTCAATCCGTTTAATTAGCCCACTTGTATTTTCCCCGTTTGGATTGGCTCGAGCCCAAAGAATCCCTTCTGAATTGCCAAAAAAAGGATCAAAGCTGGCGAAATTCAACCTCAAAGCGTGAAAAACATGGTGAAAATGCTAATTCCCTGCTGCACAAAACAACTAAAACAAGCGAAGACTTTTTGCCTCAGAAAGTTTTCACAAAGCAAAATTGGCTTACACAGTGTTTCATCGTTAGAAGTTCCCTAAGAAAAAAATTTGAATAAAAAAGACATAAAAAATTCTTGGAAAAAAACTCAGAATTGCAGAATTATGACAGGAAAAATTCTTGTAAGCTTTATCTAGAAAAACGAATGAGTATTATATCTAAAAACCATAAGTCCATATTTTCAGACTCTTTTGAATATTTTCAAAAATATTCTTCTGCTGAAAAAATCATTCCTTCATTATCCTTAGGCTTGCACCTAGTATGACTATAATACTATGACATTTGATATAAGTCATACTTTCTTGTTAATAAGAGATACTAGAATTATTGAACTTAGAACGAACAAGTCACATTTTTAGCATGACATGCTAAACATTGTGCAGTAGCATTAGATTCACAATTCATTTAATATGTTTTTACTGAAACCTTAATTTCATTAACCATTAAATCCGTGTACCCAAAGCAATCCAAATCATTACCCATAACGCCCAGCTCCCCTTTCCCTCCCCCTTCAAAATCATCTCCCCAGCCCCGTAGCGCCCCCTAGCCCTGCGCAGGCAAGAGCACCGCGCGCGCTGAAAAAAAGCGCAGCGCGTAAAAAGCGCTCTCTGGCGCCGCAAAAGATCGCGCTATTCGAGCCGGAGAGAAAGAGCACCCAAACTCATTACGCAAACTTAGAGTGAGGTTGACCACAGAAACCGAAAGCCTTTGCAGCAATTTTTTTTATAATTATTTTACGAAAACAACAACAGAAAAAAAACGAAAAAAAAAGAACTTAGAGATTTTAAAATGAAGAAGATGATCATCAGCTTTGTTGCCCTCGCCTGCTCGGCTGCCCAGGCCAGCAGAGTCAAAGAAGAGATTTTCTGGAATGTCGACAACTTCAGGTATGTATCAAAAAAAGGGTTGAAATTAAAATTAAAGAAAATTTTGCTCAAATTTTAGCCCGAAATTTTGAAATTTTTTTCCTCAGAATTTTCAAAACTCCGTTTTTTTCGGGAAATCAATTAAGGGTGTCAATCCATTTTTTATCGACTTTGCCAATTTTTCCTGACCTCTGACCTGAAAAACTTTTGTTTGCCAAATTAATCCACACCTATTTTCAGAGAAAAAACTTGAAAAATTTTCGAGCCAAAAATAGCTTTCGGAAATCCCGAATCAGCCAAAAATTCGTCAAAAAAACCGTAAAATCAAAATTGTAAATAGACTTATAAATTGTAAATAAGGCCCTTTTTGACCTCGGCGAACTTGAAATAAATTCAAAGCCGTCACGTGAACCGGAAAACGGCTTTTGTATATAAATACTCTTTTGAATTGAGATCGAGATTGAAAAAGATAAATCACCGGGCGGTACGAGAATCAGATCAAAGAGATCAAGGCCAATCAGCTGCTGATTGACGGAGGGGCCCTGCTTTTTTGATTGACAAGGGTACTAGTACAGCTGATAAGGGGAGTTTTCAGTGCTCAAAATGAGGGATTAAAAAGTGATAAGCTTTTGAAAAGAAAATATTTTTTGAGATACAAATTTTGAAAAATTAAAAAAATATTTTAATATTCAAATAAAAAAGAATTTTTTTAATTTTTCATTTTTTAATTTTTGAAAATTCGAAAATTCGACATTTTGGAAATGAAAGTTTCTTGGCATAGGATAAATTAACTCCCCGGTCAAAAGAAGCGAAACTCGCTGCCGTTTGATGTAATAATGGATTTGAAATTTACGCCAAATAATCCCGTCCATCTGCGCAAACTATCGCCGTAAAACTTGCTCGGCCGTGATTTTCTTTTTCAAATAAACACCACTCGCTCGCGGCGAAACTGAATCAATTCAATTCCCAGTTTTGAAAATATCCAAATTTGCAAATTTTCAATTTTTACCAACATGGTACTTTTTGCCTGTTTTCCAATTGTTTGGCCAAGTGAGCAAATTTGAGAATGTGTCGTAAAACTCTCCGCGCATCATGGGATCTGACGATTCAGCTTTTTCGAAGCCAGGGAAATAGTTTCAGCTGCGTTTTCCCAAATTAACTTTTTTCTGCATCAATTTCTAGCGGAATTCAAAATAACCGAATCTTTTTGATCCCCTTTTCTATCCAAAATTTTCAAAAAAACTTTTGTAAAAAGCAAATCCGAAAATCTGGCTAATCATCTAATTCAATCCCTTTGTACATGCTGTAACCGGCGACCAATTACGCGCAATTAGCTTTAGACGGGTTAATTTTAAAGGAAAGGGTTGAGCTCAGCTTGACTGATGGGCCGGATGATCGCATCAAACGGAAAGCCCGACCCGCCATAGCTCAAATATCCAAAAAAAATCAAGCTGATTTTTGTGCCTTTTGACTTCTTACCGGCTATTAAACATCTGCGAACTCAATTTTTTAAAAGAAAATCTCGAAATAAGTAAAATTAGTGTTTGAGCAATTTAACCCGTTATTCTAAAATCTAACCCGCTGTGGAATTTCGGCCGAATTCTTGAGTAACTTCTATTGCAAATTTATTCGCGCCGCCTATTCCTGATGCCTATCGCTCGTTTTGGTAAGAATATTCTTGCTCTTTGAGATTGTCAAAACTTTCGCTAAGTACTTCGGGCTATGGCAAAAGTCCTCCTTTCCAAAAAGCCATCGCGTCTGATTCGACTTTTTATCGTGCCGAGCTGTCATGTTCGGAATGGTTAGAATGTCTACCACCCGTCAAAACACGTACCCAGATTACGTTCAATATGCCACAACTTCGCTCTGGAAAGAAAATTCTTAAGTCCATAAAAGCGCTGATTTTAACACCTCCAGCAGCTTGTTTTTAATCCAATTTTTAAGTTTTGAACATGTAAAGCCGCAGTGTTTATCCGCTCTCCGCACATCTGGTTCCGTTTTTTTCTTTCTTTTCCGAACCCGGATTTTCGCTGATCTTTGTAATTCATTTAGCGTTTTTGCATAATTGACTTTTTCCAACAAGCAAAAAATTTTCCGACTGGCCCAGCTGAGCCAGCCGGATGCGGGAAAGAGAGTCAAAGAGGCCCCGGAGAAGAGTCTATTCAGAGCGCGCTTTTTTGATCAGATGTTGGTTTTATTTGATGATTTCCTGGTTCCTTTTGAGCGAATTTGAAATTGAATTTGAACAGATTTTATTTCCAAAGCGAAAAAGAATCATTTCCGGGTTCAATTGAATTATAAAAAATATTTTTTATTTTTTTTTTAATTTGAAATATTTGAAGGAAAAAATCATCTTTCTATTTTTTGACGTCAAGATTATGTGAATCCACTTTCGCCCGGATTCATCCCTCATCGCCTTATCGTCTCGATTTTCTTCCCTCGCTTTCTCGAATTCAAAATCTTTAAATTTGAAATCGCAAAAGCGGAAGTATAACTTTCTAAGTTGGGGTATTTTTTTCTTTGGAGATATTTTGCTCGCATCCGCGATATTCACTACCTTAGATGAACACAGAATCTACGAGGGGGTAGGTCACCTTAAATGCGGCGGAACTGGGCCGTGACTTAGCCCTTGTTTAGAGACAAATTCTTTCTTAAATACGAATTTCGCGAGCTTTCGCGATTTTGGCCACGCGTATTTCAAAATGGAAGCTTTTTTCTTAAGGGTATATCCGTTGAAAACCCCTTTTTTCGAACCAATTTTTCTTTTTGAATATTCAGAGTGATACCCTTAATTTTCAAAGCATTAAAAACTTCTACCCTTCTTTCAAGTTTTTTTCGAGTCGAAAACTTAAAAAACTTAAGGGTGTAGCAGTCAGTAAGGTTCTCGACTCGAGATAAAACGGTTCCATTCTTCGCTTTTTTCTGATAACTTCGTTTTTTTCGCGGGTTTAATTTAATCGGGCCTCGCCAAGATTAAAAACAAGCCCATTTTTTATTCGGTTCTTCTGGCTCTCTGAGCTGATAAGACAAGTTGTTGCTTGTTGTTTATTTATTGCAGCGGGAGTTGTTTGCAACAACATCGCATTTCCGCGATAAAAGCCTTTATTATGATAAAAGTGAATCCTGCGGCTTCGTGGCTAAGCCAAAAGGTCTGAGCCGGATAAGTCTCCTGCTGGGCTAGGGTTACGTTTTAGAGCGAAGGGTACACCCTTAATTGATCAATTTCAAATTAAACGGTTGTTCATGAAAAAAACAAGGCTAAGCTTCTTTTTAAAACTCTTTTTTAGAAACTTTATTTGTAAAAAATACAAAACAAAGTGACGCCCTTAATCTATACGAACTTTGAGTCGGAAAAGATAAATTGACAAAAGTATAAATAATCATGAAAACTCATGAAAACTCATTTTTCAGCCAAAAAAAGCGGGTCAAAATTCAATTTTCCCAGAAAAAAAGAGATGTTCCAATATTCACAACTTCCTTAATTCCTAATTCTCGAAATGCTGGGAAATCTCGCCGCCCTTGAAAATTCACCTGCACTTTGACAAAGCGATAACAGCAATATTTTTCGAGAGATTTTGGCGCTTTTCCAAACTCGTCCCCTTCCGGCCTCAAATTCAAAAACTTCTTCTTTCAAAACTTTTTTTTACAAACTTTTTAAATTTCTTTCAAACAAAAAAAGTGCAATTCGGTATTTTCTCAGACCCTTGAGAAAATGAAGAAATCGTGTATTTTGGTTTTTCGTTTTGAAATGTTTCTAATGCTTCATTTTTTGAGCAATTTTTGAGGTTGAGCAGATGATGCGGCAAAAATACCGCGAATCATTGGGTTTAAGGGTATCAGTGTGTTATTATTTGACGCGTTTTTGACACCTTTTTTTTCTATAAAAAAGATAAATTAGATGCTCTTTTTTATATTGTTTTGATTTATCAGGTGGTATGTCCTTATTTGAAAAGTTAAATTTCCCGGCAGGAATCTAATTATTTTATTGTTTGGGCAACCAGTGGAGGTTTATTTGAAGCTCTCCTGCCACGGCGAATTAGTGAATGCATCAATTTCGCCCTTTTGAAGCCGGATATTCTAGTCATAATTGTTTATAAACTACATTTTGCTCTCCACTTTTTATGATTGCTTTTCTCTATTTTCCAATCCAATGGGTCGAATCCGAAAAAGCGGGGCACACGGGCGGAACGTTTCCTTATTTACGCAGAGAGCGTGATAAGGTTACGACACGGAGCCAAATTACAAGAAAAATAATCCCAACAAAAGAGAGAGGGTGCGCGCTTCGCTAGGCACCGGGCCAAAAGAACGAACCCTCGTCGATGTACTAATAAATTGGATTTTCGAAAAAGCTGGCCAATCAAAACAAAACTCAACAATTTTTTAAAAACCTTTTCATCCAAAAATCTAACCCCCCATCTTTAGATTCGCGAACTCCTACTCCCTGGATGTCAATCTGGAAGACAAAGTCGACATCTACTGCCCCCAGTACTCCTCTGCCGCCGTCGATGATCGAACAGAAACCTTCTCGACCGACAAGCACTACCAAACAATCTACATGGTCGACGAAGAAAGCTTCAATTCTTGCCGACTTGGCGACTTCCGAAGCTTCAAAAAGGTACCTTTCAACCTTCCTATTCCTTTTCTAACCCTCTATCTAGATCATGACCTGTTCTCAACCCGTCAGAGAGAAGAAATTCACCGTCAAGTTCCAGGAAGTCAGCCCAAGCCCCTTCGGACTCGAGTTCAAACCCGATGTCGACTACTTTTTCATCTGTAAGTCCCCCTCCATCATTTTCCAACCAATCCCTTCCCTCTTTTTTCAACCCTTTAACCCTCAATTCTAGCGACTTCCAATGGCGACCAAGCAACTCTCGATCAAAAAGAAGGCGGCGTCTGCTCATCCCATTCGATGAAAATGCGAATCTCAGTCCATCGAGGAGGTAAGATCCTGGATATTTTTTGAATAACTTTGATAAGTGCCCCAAGTTTCGACTTTCGCTTATCAGTTTTTATAAAATAACGACTTGAGGAAGTTATCTAATCTCTTTTTCTTTCAGACGAAACCGGCATCCAGCGAATAACCGAGTCTACAGTCGACAGCTACAGTAACGACTTTGCTTCTTCTGCAACTGGTAAGAAAATGGGTCTTTTTTCTTAAGGGTGTCAACAAGAAAAGTAAAAATAGCAGCGGTCACGTTCAGAATAATGCGCTGATGATATAGAAGTACGGCGCTAATCCACCCTGCTCTATAATTATTTCGAGTCAAAAATGGCGATTCCGGACGGGGCCGAGTAGTAGTTACGCTCTGAGGGATGAAAGAAAAAACAACGTGGACGCGTTATTCTAAGCGTTTCCGAGGCCCCTTCCGTGCAGCGACTTTAGAAACTAAAAATTTTTTTCCAAAAAGAAAGGAAAAGAAGCCGGGGTAGAAAAGCCGGATGCGGCTTTCTGGTCCAGAAAAATGCGGAAAATTTTGTCATAAGAACATTCGAACTTTTTTGCTTCATTTTTGATGCCCTTATTTATTAATTCGATGATGCTGAAAAAATCGAGAATCTAACGCTTCTTTTTAGACAAGACCAGTGTGCCCGTCCAATTTCTCGAGCCCGAGATGGAGAAGCAAGAAGCCCTGCCAAACGCGATGATTATTGGCATTGTTGTCGGTAAGTGTCCATTTTGGAATATTTGATTTAGACCTCCCTAACCCTCTGATTTCACGCTCAAGTCTACTGACTTAAGAAAACAGCTCCCTTTCTCTTTCTAAAACTATTTTTTGTCCTCCAACTAATCTTCTTTTTCAGGTCTTCTTCTTGTTGTCCTCTCCGTCATCATCTTCCTCCTCGCTCGTCGAGTCTTCATGGCTGGCAAGGGCTCCGACAGCTTTCCGACCATGTCCGACTACCAGTCCTCCTACGTCGAGAAATACGACCCAAGCCTCTCGCCCCAGTCGATGCTCAACTACTCGCCTGGCTACCCCAACTCTCCCCAGGGCGCTCCCCAGCAAGGCGGCCCCACCGGCGCGATCGTCGATCTCTACCCCGCCGGTCGAGTTGCTGCTCCATCCAGCTACGCCGCCGTCCATATTCCCCAGCCAATGAGCGAAGGAGCCGAGTTTTCCTACTTCGATGGCAGCCAAGTTCCAAGACTCAGCTCGAGAACCAATGATATCGTCATGGTTTGAGAAGACTTTAACTGTGCCTTGACTTCTTGAAACCTAACTGTAATTGTAAAATCGCATGGCTGCCAGAACCAAAAGGAAAAAAACCACCACTGTATATAAACTCTTGCGTTTGACAAATCGTAAAAAAGCTTTTGACTTCAATCCAACCGTTCTTTCTGTTTTATGGAAATATATTTTGAAAACAAACTAAAATTTTGCATTTTTGTTCTCGCTCTCAAAATTTTTTCGACTTTTTTATTAAATTTTCTAAAATAATAAATAAGCATGAGATTCAGGGAAGATTCTAAGCAGGAAAATTTCTTGACTTTGCATCGAATGAATACAGCCATGATTTGAAACTACAGTCTCTCAATTCGCCGTTTTTGACACCATCCATTCCTGACTGGCCAGCTTTGTCCGTAGTGTTAATCGCATAACTTCATAAAGTTTTTAATAAAGGAACAAGTTGTGATTATTTCCTAAAATCAAGTAAAATTTCTTATTTCTTAAAATATGAAGGTTTTTTAAAAACTTTAACAGACAGCACCAGCAATCAGAACCAGAACAGCTCCGCCTAGGACTTCGTTACTTGGGACAGCTACACTGACAGTCCTGGCTGGCATTGAAAAATCAAGATTATTTCTCTTGGTTGAATCAAAAGAACAAGCTCAGTCCTTTTCGAATAATGCGGACTTATTTTCCTAACTGCAAAGTCAGACCAAACAATAAGTATTTACTTTTCATGCAAATATTTATTATTCAAGGCATTACAAACAAACTATTAATTGTCAGGAATTTCTCGTTTTTTGTAGAAGGATTATCTAGCGATATAAAATTTCTTTCTATGAATATTTTTAAAAATATCCAAAGAAAAAGGGTCTATATTTGAGTTTCATTTTATGATTTCTTAGGTTTCTAATCTTGACCTTTTACAATGTTGATAATTGACTCCTTTGCGTCTCTAGAGCGCATCTGCGGCGAGGCAAGATGTGAATTTTACTGTAAAGTAGATATTCAATCAATCTAATAAGTATTTTCGATTATCAAAAAATTGTTTTTGCGTTTTCTTTATGAGGCTTCACTTTTAGTGTTAGAAAAAATGGAAAAATCCTTTTTTGTTTGAGATTTTTGGCGCGATTTTGAGATGACCTCGGTGTGACCTAGCGCCGTGTAGAAGGCTCACTTTACAATTCGAGGTGAAACGATTACCATATTTCGGATTACTGTTGTTTACCACGTTTTTCTCCCTCTTGCTGCGCTTCGATGTGCAAACATCTACCGAAAATGTTAAATGAACAGGCGTAATTTGCGGCTAAAAAAAAGGACAAAAGCTAAAACTGCTTTTTGGACAAAAATTAGCACGAAAAGTTAATGGAACGTGCGGCGCGTCCTGAAACATCGGTTTCACTTTGTTTCGGAACAAATGGACACTGCGACAGGCGGAAACAAGGCGCTTGTAAAGCCGGATTGCTAAATCACGCGAGCTCAAAGGCACCCGACTTCCGTGGCCGCCCATGTTTCGACTCACTCACTCACTCATCAATACCTCTTCCCTGCCCTTTCCGACTTAAACTTGATTCGTTTCCTGCCGAATAAGTAGCTAACAGTTGTTGTTAAGTACTTTTGACGAGCGAAAAAATGATAAATTTTCACTTTGTTTTTTTCGTTTATATTTTTTTGAAAAAGCATTCAGTTTCGCCTCAAAAAAAGACTGGCTTAGATGCGAAATTCAAGAATTCTTGAGCAGGAAGAAAATTTTCTTAAACAGTGGCTCTTGAATAAAATGGAGCACTTCTGGTCTTCGAGTTTTGCGCTAATTGTAAACGGGGCTCGACTAATCACTTAAAATGAGCGACGAAGAACGTGGACCTCGCGCATAAAATTCCAGCATTCGTAGAGGATCCTACTAACGACCGCGATTTTTATAAACATGAAAAAACAAAGTTGAAAAAAAACACCATAAGATTAATTTTCGTTTCTGAAGATTTTTATTTTTGTCATTATTTACATATCTGATATCTACTAAGTACAATTTTTCAGAATAGTGTTAGAACCTGGATTGATGATAAGCTTTTAAAAATACGATAATTGATAGTCTATAAATTTACTCGAGACGAAAAGTTTCTTTTCGAACGAAGGCATTCGCGCTCACTTCCGGCTCTCTTCCAAAAGCATTTGCCTTTGTTAGCAACAAACGATTTGTCCAAAAAGAACTCTAGCAGTTATTTAACTCGAGAATGCGATCTGCGCCGCTTCTAATCTTTCCCGGCGCTGGAATCCAATCATTCTAGCTCTTTTTTTCTTCTGGAAATTAAGTAAATAATTGCCTCCCGTGAATAGTCATCAAGCGCGTTTTGATTGTCGTTTTGAATATATGTTCCATTAATTAGCTTTTGTTTTGACTATAGCACCCCTTTTTGGCGCTGCAGAAAATGACTGTAAACAATGTTTTCCCTGTTGACGAAAATATGAAGGAAACGGACTTCCGAGTTTTCGACAATTTACGCGAATTATTTGCTGGAATAAATAGGGCTCTAGAATTTTCTTTTCTTATCAATTTTTGCAGAATTTTTTTTTATATTAATAATATATTAATATATTTATTAAAAATAATTAATTAAATAAATTTAAATATATTTTATTCAATTATATTTTTTTGATATAATCTAATTAAATTAACTAAAAATTAAATAAGAAAATTTTTTTCTCAAGAATTTATCAACAAAACGTCTCCTTTTCAACGATTTAGGGCAAAAACAAAACGCTCCCGAAAATAGCCCCCATTTCATCGGACTGCTTTTGTTTTTGAAATTCGGATGTGTTCGATGATAACAAGCATAAGCAAGGCCGCGCATCAGCGAGCTGTTTAGGACACTTTGAACAATATTAAGCTTACAAAGATAGCAAAAGTGCCGCTCAGCATCTCCAATACCGCTTAGATCTTTTGCATAGACGGGAATAAGATAGTCTTTTTCGATTTTGAAAATGAAAATTTTTCAATAGCTCAAAATTGCCTAGAATAGCATTTTCAAACCCTGAGTCAGGATTTGATAGGATTTTCATAAAAAGCCGCGTAGCGGCTCCTAGAAAACCAAAGCCGCGAAGCGGCTTTCCCAAATCTACAACTTGGCAAAATGTTGACACCCTTAATCTATTTTATCCAAAAACGCTGCTTTCGAGTCGAAATTTTTGATTTCTGACTCAGTTTTTCGAGCCCAGGGTATCGATCAGCCCGTAATTACGTTTTTCAATACTTGTTAACAAAGAACACAGTTTTGGCGAGAACCCAATCAGGCTGAAAAACCGTCCTCTTTGTCCTATTTTATAATTTGCTACTTTGTTTAGTTAATACAATAGTAATTGGCCGAAAACCCAACATGTCGCCCCTTTTTTTTGTTGTAACGAAGCCGGAAAAAATCACCCGTTGTGAGCGACAAAGACGTTCTTGAGCGTCGTAATCCGCCGCGAACGCCGAAAATTGAAGCGGGATTATGAATTCGGACGGAGCCAGCGCCGGATTACCATACATTGAAATTATTAACTCTCGAGAATGAAACTCTCGGGGCGGCGATTTTTGAGCACTCAGCGGAAAAAAAAGAAGAAACATTTTTTCCCTTTTTTTCTTCAAAACGTTCTATTTCGACTTGAAATAAGAATTTATTAATCGAACAGTCGTCCTAGTAGACTTGTTTTTATTTTCTTTGTCGAATATTCAACCACTTTTGACAATAAAGAATTTATGTTTGAACACCTGTTTCAATTGATTACATATTCTTGGGACCATTTAAAAGAAGAGGGCAATCAGAAGAATTCAAGCCCCAACCACGTCTCAAACGAAAAATAATAAAAAATGAATCTGAAAACTGTTTTATTTTCGCTTTTTGCGCTCTCTTTTGGCAAACAAAATCATTTAAAAGGTAATTTTCTGGCAAAAACATTTAGTTTTCTGAAAGAACACTAAGAAACCGCGGATCTCTTCTGTCGTTGATGATCGGATCGGATAAGCCTGGATGCCTGGGCGCATGAACAGATGAAATAAAAATAAACAAAAATCCTGAATTTTTGCGAATTAAATTCAAAAGCAACTGTCCAAAATAGGGGTGGCCTATACAGTGGGTATGGTCAATTCCGCAGATTTTTTTTTCGCCGATTTCGCTGAAATCTGTGGAATTGACCACTTTGCAAGAATTCGACAGTTTTTTGAGAAAAAGACCATTTTTTTTATTAAATTGTTGTTTTTCTTTGGTTTTGCTCGAAAATGTCAAGACAAAAAACACGGAAAGACCCTTTTTCATCGCGTGTCGATGTTCCACATATATACATGATAAGGGGCCAAGCCGACCCGAAGGGGAGGCAAGCCCCGTCTTTTGTATTCAGTCAGGTTTACGGCCAAGCCGACCAGAAGAGGAGGCCAGCCCCGTCACTTGAATCCAGTCAGAGAAGGCGCCAACCCGACCCAAAGGAAAGGCTAGCCCAGACTCTTGAATCAGTCAGATAAGTGGCCAAACCGACCCGAAGAGAAGCCTGAATCTGGAGCCAGATCGCCTTATCTGACTGAATAAAAGAGACGGGGCTGGCCTCCCCTTCGGGTCGGTTGGCCCCTTATCTGACTGAATACAAGAGACGTGGCTCTAATGGTCTGATTTTTAGAGCTGTATAATTTTGAGGCTTAATTTTTCGGGGGTCTATCTCGACTCTAACACCCCCAAAATCCCATTTAAAAATTGGACTTTTCGCCGCAAATTGACGAATTTGCCCTAATTTCGGCAAAAATATTGATTTTTCTTGGTCAAAAATCCTCTTGTATCAAGTTTTTGAGGCAAGTTTAACCTGGGGACGCATTATGAACCAAAAGTATGGCGTTTTTAAAAATTTCAATTTTTCGAAGGAAAAAGCTGACGGGGGGTCCATAAAACGTCGCCTAATTGCTGCATTTGTGGTCGAAAACGTCCCTTTGGCCACGTAGCCTTAGCAAAAATGTAAAAAGAAATAAAAAAAAAATTTAAATTAAGGTCACGTGGCCAAAAAGACGTTTTGGACCATATATTCATCAATAAAAGCGATGTTTTAGGGCATCCGACATTATTCTTCACTTGATCAAAATACATTTAGGAACCGACGATCTATCGTATCATTTATGCAAAAACTTGATGAGATCAGCCTCGATCGCTGGGCTGAAAAATTATTCGAACAAATTTAAATTCAATAAAAAATAAAAAAAAATACAAAATCCACTTGAAAAACTACAGCTTTGTCGTTCTGACGTGCCTTCCAACATCATTTTCCGTCCACTCAATTTTAGATGAAAACGCTGGTTTTTGGATAAATTGTTGATTGAATTAGCTTGCTTCTTGAATTAATGATCGCGACAGTTTTTAAAACGGGGAAAATTCTTGTTAACAAAGAACATAATATGATTTCTCGACTTTTTCTCCTTTTTGTTATTTTCCAAGTTTGCTCTTGTTACTATATTTATTCTACAAGGTAAAAAACGGGTCCATTAACGCGTTAACATGTTTTATTCAGACCTCCAACATCGGCCCTCATTAGATTTTTGCAGAAATTTGAAGGTCTTTCCCTCAATTCTTTGATGAAGAAATTGATTGAAGGATGAATCACTCTTAGTTCTGTTAGAGATTTGCCTTTTACTGTGACTTACTTTTTTTTCTTCAAGAGACTGCGATTCTTGTGGCCGAAACAAGCAAAAGAAGTGATTTTTATGGGAAAGGTTTTGATTGGCCGGTAGGCCAAATACAGCAAGCTTATTGGTCATTCAAAAATTCACTTCTATTTCTTGGTTAGTGCTGATTTTTGGACTAACGATTTTAGGGCGTGCATTTTTGGATTACCAATAAGATTGCTGTTTTTGGCCTACCGACCAATCAAAACCCAGGTCCATGTTAAACACTTCCATAAATGTGTTTTACCCCGATTCTTCAGCAAAAAAAAATTCTTTATGAAAATAAATCGAAAAAAACCGGAGCTCGGGAGTTCACTCGAATTTGATGAATGCTCATGCTGGTAAAAGTATCAAATTTGCTTGCGAATGAACGCGAAAACGAACCCGCTTTTGGTGATTTATCAAAAGCTGACTGGCGTAAGTTTCGTAACCGCGGAGGCAGCTTGCTTCGAAGGATCGTTTTTGCTGCCGGTGCCACCGTTGAGAGAGCTTTTTCACGAGTATTTGAAACGATTAGGCCAAGTAGCCAAAAAGCCCAGATTTTGTAAGAACGTTTTTGGTTAAGGAGGTAGTCCCTGCTTTTTGCGATCTTGGCACTTTTTGAACAGCGCTCATACAAATTTGGGCTTAAGTTGAAGGATGAAAACTATATCGGTAGAAAGGTCGAACGCTGTTCTAAAGTTGCCAGTTCCCGAAAGATATTTTTTTCGACCTATCGAGGAGCTATGGTGCCATATTCTAACCTAACCCGAGCAAAATCGCCATTTTGGCCTATTTTCAAACACGCGTAGAGCCCTTAAAAATTAAAATAAATGTAAACCAAATATATTTTTAACAAGTTTATACCTTCGTCTAAAGTTGCCACTCAACGAAATTAAGAAACTCAAAAAAATCATTATTTAATACCATCGATCAAAACTTGGGTCTGAAAAACTTGAAAAAATGAGTTTTTGAAAGAAGATTAATCTTATGTAGCCTTCATAGAAGACAATTTATTTATTATTTGAGTAATCTACAGACCAAAAATCATTAACACAACGCTTCGACTTTGGATAAAATAGTCATAAATTTTCAAATTTTTGAAATTTTTCATCAAAATATCAATTTTTAAGGCCGATTTTGGGACTTTTCTCTTACATTCGGAAAAAATGATCAATACAAAATTTGTAGCTCTTCTAATGAGCTTTTAGAATCTGGAAAGAAAATTTCAAAATTCGGATTTTCTCAAAAGCAGGGACTACCACCTTAAAAAATAAGGTAAAATGAGGAACTGAGCTGTCAGATGCAGGAATAAGGGTGGCTGAGTTGAATTAATCGCGCAACGGCCAAGCCCTAAGAAGATTGGCTTTGAATTCCAAACTGGCGTCATCATATTCGCATAAGCTTGTATTTGGGATTCCTTTGCATTTCTCAGCTTTCTAGAGCGCGCGACAACTTTGAACAGAGATGCTCTTGCTTATTTAAAAAATCAAGTTCTTTCTATTTTTTCATTTATTTTTTAGTTCAAGCAAAAATCGATTTCAGCTTCGAATACAATTGGAGCATCAAGTCTAAAAATATTTTTTTATTTTTTTTTCTTCCCTTTTTCGTTACCTGAAGTCAGAATAAATAACTTCATTATCCGTCACATTTCCTCCATCTTGAAGCAGTCGGAATTTTTCGATATTGTACGGGCTAAAAACAAAGTCATAATATTTAATTCTTCGCGTATACAATTCCGCTACCTTTTACCACCAAGAATTGAGAAGATCTCGCCGCCAACAGAATACACTGTGCTGTAAAATTGAGGCTGAATATTTATCAATGTAAATTTTCAAAAAGCATATTAACGGTGAGAAGTTTTCCGAGAGATCGCCAACTTGAACTTTGAAAGAAAAAGACATCATCGTATGGCTTGTTCGTCAGCACGTTGAAACCGCCAACAGTAATTACGCCGGTGCCAATTTTTAAGCAGCCAAACAGTGCTAGATTTCTTAATATTTTTTGTAGCGGATAATTTTCGAAGAAGCTTACTTGGGATGATTTTCTTGCTCGATCCAAGTGTCTTTTTGGAGAAGCTCGACTTTATTTCGATCGCCACTAAATACAGTCAGATCTTTATTTGCTCAGGTTTGTCCAAACAAATGTGTTTTACATATGCTCTTTATCAGCGGGCTAAGACAAAAATGAGATGTTTTTTAATCATTTTGCCAAGCTTTCTTTTTTCGAAACCATCAGAGCATTTTCTTGATAAATGCTCTCTGGACGGATACGATCGAGAATGTCGATATTCCTGTTTGAGAGTCTTTTCAAACAGTATGAAAGATCGAACGACTGATATAAAGGAGAATCGAACTCAACTAAAAATTTGTAGATCAAAGGTTTTCATATTTTTTTTATAATATTGAAATTAAATATTCACACCGGAATGCTCAAGACCACGGCGTACTGAGAAAAATGCTCGAGAAAGTAGAGAAATTGAAAGAAATAATGGGAAAAGCAATCCTTGCGAGGAACCAATCAGGGAGTACGGGAAGATCCTGGTGGTAACTATTTGGCTGATTGTAAAAATGACCCAAATGGCGAAAAACGTAAACCGTGGGATCCATATTGTCATGGCTGTTGGACAATTAGCTACAAAGAAATAAGAGGAGATGATTATATTCAATGGGAAGCTGTATATCATTACTTCTGCAGCTACATCTGTACGAGAATTTATGATTAAACAAGCTGTTTTGTAACTTGTTTATAAATTTTACCTGTAATAAGATCCAATAGCCAGCAAGCTATCATCAAATTCTGCAAGACATCCGGATTGATGTGTGTAGGTTGTTTCAGGGCGAAACATAGAGAAGTTTTCGCCATCAAAAACTTGGCAGTTTTTATTTGTGTTTGAATATTGACTTTTCAATAATTAAAAGAATTCAGAGCATTATATACCGCTAACATTGAAAAATTTTCAATTTCAATTATATTTCAATCAATAAAAATGGGATCAATAATTTGAAAATTATTTTATGGTCTCTCTTTTTTTTGCTAATTTTCCTGTTGAAGCAAATATAGACCTCCCCGCCAAGTTCGCGTACATTGTTGCCAATACTGTAGTCGTAAATAAGCCTTTGCTGGAGCTCGCGGAAGGCACACCCTTCCAGAACTGCCGCTTTGTACGAATCGTTATATCCGCCGAAAATAAATATCTCGTCATTCAACAAAGCATGTCCCGCAAGATGCAAGTAGCCTTTTTCGCCTCTGGAACGGTGATCTCCCTCGTTTCGAAAAACTCGCCAGTGGTGGAGATCAGAAAGTTTTCTCTTCGATATTCTCCGTAATCCCCAAGAACGAAGAGGTGATTCTGCTCATTTTGGCAAATTTGATGGCTGCAATTTTGGCACCCGATTGGACAATCCCGTCCACAAGGGCAGGAATCAAGCTCTTCGCGGTACTCTTATCACAGGATTCTTTAAAAAAATATCATGAAATATAGATTCATTTGAAGAAAAAAATTATTTGAACTCCTTGACGTTGAGACATTGCGTTTCGCAAGCAGCATCCAAGCAATTTCCTTCGCAATCCAAGAATTCAAGAGCTGCTTTTCCTTGGCAGTCGTCCGCCAATTCCGCATCTCTAAATATATTCACTCAAGTGTGTAACATCGAAAACTCTATCTTACAGACATTCCTCTTCCTGACCATTCGAGAATGTCGAAAAAACAGAATAAGCCCCGAAAAGTTTCATTTTAGTTCGTAAATTTTGAAATTCGAAGCTACTTTTGCACGCCCAGATGAAGGGATATTTAAATTGCAATAAAAATATGACCGGGTGCAAAGATTGAAAGATCGAAAGTCATTTTCGGTCATCTCGGGCGATTGGGGTTAGGGTTTCGAAAAAAGAGGGGTGGAGTTAGGGTTAGGGTTCTTCATCATTAAATTTTTTTTTATCGAAAATCACGAAGATTTTTAAAAATTAAAAAAAAATTGAAAATTTCGAAAAAATCTTGAAAATTTTTAAAAATAATAAAAATTTTGAAAAAATCTGGATTTTTTTAAAAATCATAAAAATTTTTAAAAATCTTGAAAATTTTGGCAAAAAAAATCTATCATTATTTTACCTGGATAGTATTAATCCCCATTTTCCATCAGAAAAAAGGGTTGAGATCTTCAAAAGCAAAAAATGTGCTCCACCCTTATCTCCGATGGCTTATCATTTTTCTTCAGAAATGTAGTCGTATACAAAGCTACGTCTATCTTTATCACCTCTTCTCTTTCTCTGGAATCTCCGAGGCGCCTGGAAAATCCGGAGCTGAAATTGAGCTAAAAATACTGTTCAGAGGATTTTTAGTTAAACAAATTTCCTCGAGGACTCTTTTTACGCTAGGAGCAAGAAATCATGAAAGTTCATGAAAAAGAGAGCAAGATATGAGCTTCCGCAATTACGGGCCATTAACTGTTCTTATCTTGTTTCTCCAAATCATGTTATTCAAGTTCCCAATGGCAAAACAAGCAGTCTACCAGTCCAGCCGATTCTAGCACCAGAAGAGAAAACAACTGTTCTTGTATTCAGGGTGGCGTCCCTTTTCTGGATGCTGCTCAATTATTTCTCCTTGTTCAATTTCGCACAGAACATGGGAGCCGCCCAGTCCTGCCTCTTCTGATGTAAAGCGCTTTTTTGACACCGCCGCGAAAATGAGAACACGCTCCAAACGTTTTTTAAATATTTGGAAAATTCGATGAGAAAACATACTGCTATTCACTAAAAGTAATTGCCAAAAATATTATGGTTATTTGCGATAAATACTAAACATTTTTGCTACTTTAACGTGTTTACTCTAAATATTGTCGAAAAAACTAAAAGAAAGGGCTTTAATTTTTGGATTTTACCGGCGTGATTTCTGCCAAAATGGTTATAATTTCAAGATTTTGAAACAAGAAAACAGTCATTAAAATTTATTTTATGGAAGGTAACAAAAGTCTTCGCTACAAAAATCCCTGCAAATATCGGGAGTTGTTTCAAAGATAATTGGGTGATAGCAATCGCCGCCATGATCACGGATTGTTCGTGTTGAAATGACAGTATCATTAAGCCATTCGCCTCGTTCAACAGAATTGTATCTAAAAATAAAACTGAACTTAATAACGTGAAATCAAGTCCTACTTATTTGAGCCACCGAAGATAATGAAGAAATTTTCAAAAAAAATAATCGATCCATCCCTATGATACTAAGAAAAAATTTATCAATAAATAAAATAAAACAAACGTTTTGCATAATTCCGGCAATGCTCCACTCATTATTTTTAAAAAAATACACTTCTTTTATGTAAGTGTCATTCCATCCTCCGACTGTAATTACTTCATTACCAACTGATGTACAGGCTTGATGAAAAAATTTCGCCTCCGATGGAAAAGCTTTTATATACTGCCAACCGCTAAGAATAATTGATATGAATTCCTATCATTAATTTATTATATAATTAAAATAACCTGTTTTACCTGAATTCAAGTATCTCAACAGTGTTTGTCTGCTGTCCCCCAATAATAAGAGCCTGTCCATGATAACGAGCCATACAACCACTGTTATGCTGAATTTTGGTATTGCTGACTTGGCGAAGAAATTGTCCATCAAAGCTTTCGCATTTGAGAGGGTCTTCATTGGCATTACATAAAATTGTTTCTTCTACAACTTCTTCTAATGTGACAAGTGATCCAGCCGTCGATACAAAACTATATGTGAGCCTCTTTCCGATTTCTTTTATCGCACAGTTTGTTATTTTAGCTATCTTCAAAGTTAGATTATTATATGTAGATCAATTCCAATATCGGCAACCATACGATTCCAATTTAATGCCGGATTTTCGAAATTTCGGTGCCAAAAAAGCGCATTAAATCAGGTACCCGAGGTATATCAAATTTTGTTTAATTTTGAGAAAAACCTTTTTCGGATCTGAGTAACCACCAAAAATGAACATTTCGTTTTTTAAAAGAGCACTGCCAGCTACTCGTAAAAAAGGTGCAGAGGTCAAGGGCGATGAGTAATATCGATTTTCCTTCAAAAGTTTCGTGAATAATTTGGCTTTCTTTGCTTGAAATTTTTTTATGAAACTATCCTTGATATGACCATTGGCTGAAATCATATAACTAAAATCGACAAAAGTTGAAGAGGTTGATTGACAAAGAGAAGCAATATAAGGCTGACATTCGTATCCAGTTTCACAAGGACAGCCGAGAGGACATCCAGAATTACACGGATATTTTTCAGAATCATCTATGAGTGTCGACGTACATTCTTGGTAGCAGAAACTATCAGCAGTACAATTCCCAAAACAAGAATTAAACTCATCAGTTACTTCTTTTATGCATTGTCGATAATCGACATTATTGATTTCAGGCAATCGGCAGGAGCAAACCGAATTTTTACATCCATCACAACCATTTGTGCAATCGTCAAAGCACGGGCAAAGTCGGTAGCAATCTTGATCGGTATTAAAACAAGAGAAAGAAATCTTACCGATATAGGAAGTCAGACAAACCCTCTCGCAGGACGATGAGCTACACGCATCTTTACAAGCAAGAAATTCCTTATAACATTGACTGTCACAAAGAAGGCCAAGTTCTTCATCTCTTTTATTTTTTTTTATTTACTAAGTTATAACTCATAATTTTAAATATAACTATTACCTCAGGTACCCGATTTAGTGTCGCCCAATTTAGTGTCGTTTTTTTCAAAAAGCGGGATCCCGAAAATTCTAATTTAGTGTCGCTTTTTTGAACAACACTGTTTTTGCCACCAAATTTCGTGTCGTTCAATTTAGTGTCGTTTTTTCGGAATTTCAGGACCAAAAAAGCGACCCTAAATCAGGTACCCGAGGTATGTAGAATAATATATCTCATAAAAAAGATAAAGATACATGTTCAATTTTAACGATAATAAAATACAAGACTCACGGACATTGCCCTTCCCGAAGAAAAGGACGAATCGCGTCTAAGATGGGAAAAGAAAAAAGAAAAATAATTTTGAACATTTATTCACTTTTGAATGAGTTTTACTCAAATCTTCCAATCGTTAGCTATTTGCAGAGGAAATAATTGAACTTTATCTTCACGCTCATTAAATATGGCGAATTTTCCCAAAAACGGTTCTATTTCTGATGTTTTATGGTGATAGAAGTGGTCTGGTACGTTCCTCTCTATCCGCTGTAATCCCGCTTCTACCGTTGTAATTCTCCGCTGCAAACATCTTCCAACCGCGGCGCAAAGAAACATTTAAATTGAGAAGTTACCAGAAGGCGCGGTTACCCGCAGAAACAAGCTTTTCTCTCTCTCTCAGCCGCTCGTTTCTAAAACATCAAATAACGACGACGATTCGAAAATGAACGTAAAAAGCAATTCATCAAAAATTACGAGACTCGTAACTTCCGACAGAAATGTTTGATAGAAGTTATGAGTCGGATTATAAATCAATCTATTTTTAGTATCCTGAGTCAGGATTCCTGACCTTTTTTCTTTGCTCGGCAACCTGAATGGAAACCCTGAGTCAGGGTTTAGAAAAGTCTTCAATAAAAGCCGCAAAGCGGCTTTTTAAAAAACGAAGTCGCGGAGCGGCTTTGCCAGAGTCTGAAAAATTGATTGGTTTTTTCAGGATCCTGAGTCAGGATTCTACACAGATTTCCGAGCCGATCTGGTATCAGAAATTTGAGAAGAAAATCTGAGTCAGGGTGAAAAAATCTTCAAAAAAGTCGCGTAGCGGCCATTTAAAAAATGAAGCCGCGAAGCGGCTTTGCCAGAATCTGAAGAATTGACTGGCTACACGGATTTTTCAGAATCCTGAGTCAGGTTTTCTACATAGGTTGCCGAGAAAAGCTGGTACCAGAAAACCAGAGTCAGGGTCAAATAAATTTTTTAATAAAAATGACTGTTTATTCACACACGTTTTCGCTTTTTGCTCGAAAGCTAGAGCAAAAACAACGGGTGGCGATAACATGCGATATGATAATTGGCAGTGAAGTGAGATGCAGCGTCTTGACAAGGGGTGACAAGTTCCACAGTCGCCATTGCTGAATTCAGCAAGCGATCATCAGCCGGAAGCGCTGTGAACGTTTTATCGCGACGGCTTCGAGTGAATTTTTCTTGATAAAAAACGGTCTTTTTTCCAATTGAAAAATAAACTTATCAAGCGAAAGATAATTTTTATTCTGAAAAAAGGAGAACCAAAAAAGAGCGTCTCTCGTGAGTTTCTCAAACCGAAGCAGTTAGAATACGTAAAAGAAATCACTCGAAAATAAACTTTCCCGTTTGTTAAACAAATCGCGTTTCCAGCAGCTTCATTTCCGTCAGTCGCCGTGGGTTTGCCTGTTTACAAAAGCGAGTCGCTTCCGGATTAATTTATTTTCGGCAATGCCGCAACGTAAGATTTGGTTTGCTACTCATGATCTTGCCAATAACGCATGCCAATAATTAAACGACTAAAAGATTGAGTTCAAAGTCGAGTTGAGCTTGCTCAAAATTCAGCTCCTGATTTTAAGGGTACTAACTTCGATTTCCCCAACTTGACGGTCGAATAACTCAAAACCTATCAATGTTAGCAGAAATAACTAAAGCAGTAGATCTATCTTAGATCTTGAATTTGTCAGAAGGATTTCTTGATTTCTCGAGTAGAAACAGGATAAATTTTGGCTCGAAGTCACCAACTTCCGAAAAAAGACAAAAAAATTTGTAGCATTTTCGGTTATTTGGAAAATCGACGGTAGTACCCTTATGCTTGATTTTGTGATTATTTAGAATAATCGATTCAGTAACAGTTATTTAAGATGCTCAATCTTTCCTATTTTCAAGTCGAAAAAACAGAAAAATGCATGTTACATCATTCTCCCAAAAATTACAATAGTTGTACATTCAAGTATGTCTCCCCAAAAACCTCTCTCCGTCGTCATCATTTCCACCGCGGTGACCACGTGACCGGTTGTTCCCGACATTCCCGCGCCGCCTCGATATAATATTTCCATTTTTATTATCGCGTGTTCCGCGCCGCCGGACGTCAAATTGCGGTGCACCAATTTCTGTGAACATTCAACTTTATTAAAAAAGCGAAGAAGCGGAGGGCTGATTTTACTGGAATTGCAGATGAACAAAGCTCATGATTTGCGAAGGTCGAGAAAGTAACATCCGGGGTCAGGGCGATGCTCTTTTCGAGAATGTCGCTACAGCTAGGGCGGGCACACGAAAACGCATTCTAAACCTTTTGTCGTATCCAGGTAACGCTTTTTAAAAAATGGATTATTATAGCAAAAAAGTCCTTGTCTGCCTGTGCACCAAATCTAACAGCAAAGATCCGACTTAAATTTCTGTGCTCATAAAAATAAAAAAATTAAATGGCCAAAAACAGGTTTCTCGAGAAAAAAAAAATGAAAACCAACCCCCGTCCCCCCACATGAATTCATTTTTATGGGAATTTTGATTCATGCAGAGCTTTTCTGAAAAATCAAACAGTGTCTATGGTGATGATCTTATAAATCGGTTACCTCCTGCCCGTCGACAGATAAAATAAAGTTCGATAAAAAGAGAGAGAGATGGTTAGAAAAAAAAGCATCAGTACACAAGTGGATATCTTGGCTGGCACTTCTGGGCTGGCACTTCTGATTGTCGCTGAAATGACAATTTTTTCTTTCGGAAAATTGTCGATTATACCTCACATTGGCTTTATCAGTCACTTAAACTTAAGTCGCTTCTTCAATCTCTACTTGTTTCGCAGCTCAACGTTCATCAATTTGAAGCGCCAGGCAATGAGCATTTTCGAGAACTTCGCAACCATTGAAAACTTTAACAGTCTCGTTGAAGTCTTTCTCCTTAACCGCGTGGGACAGATCGGGGGATAGAGGCACTCGGACAGAAGGTGTATTCCACTGCACTTAAGAAAACTAGTCGTCGGATAAACTTGAAAATTATACCCATTGGTAGTAGTATTACTAATTTTGGGGTGTAGATCTCAAATCCGCTATCAAAATTTGCAGAAAAAAAGGCATTTATCTCAGATGGGTTTCAAAATTATCTCTTATTTAGATTTCTCGAAAAAGTTAATTCAATATTTGAAATCAGCGATATCGAAAACATATAAAACCCCTTTTAGTGGACAAAAGTCTTGATATTGGTTCGGTTTCAATAGGCAAACACTCAGCGGGAGGCCAATTAGGCCGCATATAATCCGGTGCAGAGGGCGGTTGGTAATCGATAATTCCTTGAAACTTACCAACCTGCTCAAATTATATGAAGGAACAACCATTTTAATTTTTATCTAATTTGGACAATTCGTTCGGAAGTTATTTAGCTAGAAAGTCCTTAAGTGCAGTGGAAAACACCTTCTGTCCCATGCGGTTAAAAAGCCTAGTTTTTAATCCAAAACCCCTTAAAAATTCTTTGGTACATATAAACGGCAATTTATCAATTTACTAAGAAAATAAAAAAACTCCTCTGTAACCTAAGGTCGACTTGAAAATTTTCATTATAAAAGGACTTTTCCTGAACCCATGTCATCCGAAAAATCATCTTATTTCGGAAAACAATTAAACATTAATAACTTCGGCGCGGCAGTAGTATCAGCCCAGAAAGGTCGACAAGATTGAAGATGAAAGATTTCAGTCAACAGGTTGATCTGCTCAAAGAAGATTTGTTCGACGACAAACCGCAGAATTTGCCTACAGATAAAAGCTTAAACAATGCAGATAGCTTTATTAATCAACAAGAGAAAGATGATTATTTATTTCATATTAAAAAAATTCCCATCGAGTCAGCAATCTGGGTAAGAATTCAACTAAAATAAAAGAACATATTCTATCCTGAGCGCGAGCGCCAATCATATATTTAATAAATAGAAATTATCCTTTTTGTTTAAAATAAACTGGTAAAACGAGACATTTAACCCTTGATCTTTAATGAATCTCCTAAAATTTTTGTTTAAGATGACAAGAGAGACCATTAATAGTCGTATCCTGGACATTTTCTGCTGCGGTGGGGATTTGACTTATCACACTGCCCTTATTGTATGGCCCTTCAAATATGACTATGTGAGCGGAAGCTGCCAGTTAACCCTTCTAAGCAAATCAGCCAATCGACCGAATTTTGAAAAATTTGAACACGGTAAGGCAACGATAGGAATAATGATAAAAAAAGACCTTCTAAAAATATTGTGGAAGATTGTGTAAAAATATAAGAATATATTGCTTCATAAGGAAGGTTTCTACCACAGATTGAGGAAAACGCTTCATTCTCTTTGACTCATTTGATGTAAACATTCATATTATGATGCTATCTATTTATAAATATTGTCGTTTAAGATCAGAACTTAAATATTTTAAATCTTTTAAAATATTTTTTCTTTAAAATTCGATTCAAGAATGATAATTATTCTCAAATTTATTAAATTCTTAAAATAATCTTTAAGAACTCATCAAATTGGACGATCTACCAACTGATAATGCTGAAGAGCTGAATGAGGTTTAAAAGATTTTTGAATTAAAAGAATTGAATTTATTTCCTCTGTTCGTTATGATCAGATAAAAATCCTTTATAAAAATTGTCTGTTGAGGCTGCCTTGGAATAATCATGTAGGGAAAATTATTGGAATGCGATTATATATTTATAATATTGAATTCACTAAAAACAGAAAATCAAATCAGCATGTTTCGAGCAATTGGCATAAGAACAAGAAAAAATAATGGATTATTTTAAAGCTTTTAAGATTTTTAAGAAATAATTGTTCATAATAATTAAGATAACTGCATCTTTCCGGCGAAAATTTTTCGCCATGAAAAACAATGGCTGGTCAGAATACAGCAATTTCACTTCAAATTGTCACCATTTTACTGTGGAACTTTATGAAGAAGGATCAAAAAAACCGTTCCCGAGGAATTTGAAGCGCTATATTTTTAATCCGAAGAGAAAGAGCTGTTTTGGTAATGAAAAAGGAAAGTGCTCAAGTCATTATTTTATGCATTAAGAGTATATAATCTGGAAACTCTTCTGCGGCTGTACTGATCAATGCTGTTTTCATCGAATGTTTTTTTGCACATGTCATTTCAACGAAATTGATTGCAAGATTGACACGGACAATATTGTTTCGTATACCAATTCACTTCCAGAACATGAAAATCAAGAAGGCAATCAAGAAAATAATCAAATAAGCGATGAAGATGAGACAGAGCTCCATTTGAAAATTCCAGTTCTTCTTGATCCTCCCAAAAATAACTTGAGGAATTATAGAGCTGTACATCATCGCTTACCACCACTTCGAACTTATGACCAATATCAAAACGAATTTCGAACATCGAAAACTCAAAAAATAGAATCAATAGATTCAAACGATTCAAGGAATTTTAAAATCGATCAAAATACGAAGGAGTAGAATCAAATCTTATTCTATGATCCATGATTAGGGTTTCTATCGGGAAAATCGAACTCTGTCTTTTTTCTTGAAATTTAAGTGTTTATATCAGTTTTTTGTGCTGATCACGAATCTGCTATTTAAAAAATGACAAGAGACACGCGTGGTGGTGCTCGCAAGGAGGGGCGCGCCTTTAGTGCGCTTGGAGAAAATCACCAAAATCCATGCTTTTTTGGGGAAATTTCATATCTATGGGTAATTTTTGATGGAGATTAGGATAGCTTATTTATTTTAATCGATATTGAAGTTATTAAGAGTCTCTTTAGATCTGTCAATCTCTTCTTGAGAAGCAATTTCATGGTCGACAAGTTTTTTTTTCGAATTCAGGAAGGGGTGACGGCGGATTCCATTCTTTTTAAAGAATCATTCTTTTTTCCAATTTTCTAGAGAAAATAAGGTAAAAATAGGTTTTTCGGATATATAAAAATTCTTGGATATCAAACTCTCTGGAGTTTCCCTGATCACTGGCGCGAAGCGCACACTCGCTCCTAAGTTATTTGCATAAACAGGATTTTGTTTCTGAACTTTTGACTGTCTTTTATGCGATGTTTCAAGTATTCTTAAAAAAGAATGATTCTTTGCGAAAAAGAACCATTCTTTGAAAAAAGAATCATTCTTCACAAAGAATGGAACCCGCCGTCTACCTTCAGGAAGTGTTAATTTCATAATTTACATAGTACTAATGGAATGAGTTCCGGAAATCCCTAGATTTCATATCGAACCACTAGGTTTTGTCACCTTATGCAAAAAGGTTCGAACCTTACACGGGGAGCAATGTCAACAGAGTCCAAGCGCATGGAAAGAGCCTTAGTAAGCGCGTCACTCTCAGTCATCCGGTGGTTTTGGAAGGTTTCGCTTTTAGCCCCCTCATGAAATTTTAACAGAATATCAAGTGCGCTTTGTTTAACAAAATATATGAAAATCAGAGTTCTACAAGTTTATTTGAATACCGTAAAGGAAGAAAAACTCATTTTTGCAGCGCTTTCACTGCGTAATGCACTACCCCCAAGGATTATTTTTGTGGACGCGATAAGGGGCGTCATGACGAGCTCTATCAAAAATTCCTATCGTCCGGCCCACAGGTTGAATCAGACTCAGGGGCTCATATCCAAAAGCTCCACGTGGAGTCAAGGGGTGATGTCCAATCAAAGCGATTGCCGATGATTCAACTTTGGGATTTTGCTGGAGACTGCATCTGTGTCTATGATTCAGCCTGTGGGCCGGACGAAAGGAATTTTCGATAGAGCTCGTCATGACGCCCCTTATCGCGTCCACAAAAATAATCCTAGGGGGGTAGCGCGCCGTCAGTTCTACCCATTCTTCTGCTGGTTTTGGTTGGTTCCTTGTGTCCCCCCCTTTCGAAATTTTGATAGACTAAAGAAAAACGTCTTACTCTACCCTTAATGCTTTACAAATATTATTTTTGAAAAAATGACAGAAAGAATCATGTTGAGTTCAATTCTGAAAAGTTTAACATTCTGAAAAAGGCTACAATTCATATTTTGTTCGGGCGAAAAAAAATAATACTATTTCTATTTTTTAGGAAATAAGTTGAAAGTATATTCCAAAAACAGTGAAAGAAAGTTAAGTTCCGAATAATTTTATGAACCCTCATTTATCTTTTTTCCCAAGAAAGAAAAAAAAATTGTTGTCATCCGACTCGAGACAAAAATATCCATTTTAAGGCCACTTTTGAAATTCGCTGTCATCCGAAAATCGGCCTTAAAAGTGCTTCACACTGTATCAAAAAATCAGAGTTTTAAAACTTTATTTAGACGTATTAAGAGTGATTTTTTCGCAAATTGAAGGGATTTCTTCGCTTTTTTTGAAAAATTTTAAGGGCAAATTATGAATCAGCGCCATCAAAATGACTGTATCAAAATGTTTTTTACTGAAAATTTAGATCAAGTAAGGAATAAGGGATCGAACATTTTATAGGAAAAGCGCCGCGCCGCGCGCCGCATTCCCGATAGAAACCCTATCCATGATATAATTTTTTTCTGTTACCCTATTCATTTAAATTAATTGTCTAAAATTTTTTAACGTTATGTCATAAAAATTTTTATTCAGAAGAATACTTTGTATGGGGACGACATTTTCATTGATAATTGATTGTTGCAATGAGCAACATGTTAATCTTCCTGAGCAAATGACAGAAACAGAAGCCCAAACGAAACAAAAGTATGTTTTCTTATATTCTGCTGAGACTTGGTTTCTTAGAAAAGGAGCGTTAAAATCATAAAGAATCATTTTTTGTTGATCATTCATCCTTGCTTTCAGACACGCGAATAAAGAATCAGTAGCAAAAGAAAAAGAACTATCGAAGGAAAACGATAAAAACGCAAAAGAAGAAGAAAATTAGTTTTGTCCATTTAAATCCATTAAGGAGGTATGGGGCGGCTTGGCGAAGATTCGAATTTTAAATTTTCTTATCCATCTGAGCCTGAGAGCTGTTTTCAAACGATCAATTTCCCGAGAACCGCCCTATACCTCCTTAAGGGGGCTCGTCGAGAATCGGGATTTCCGTGACCTAAAATGCGGGAAAACCTGATCAGATAGGCAAAAGCTAAATTTACTGGCGAATAGAAAAGGGTTGAAAAAATAAGCCGGCGAGAAGTCAAAAATTTTGACTAGAAAACCGGTCAAAAATCTCGTCAAAGTAGGGCCATTTCCGCAAACATGCACCAAAAATGGTCATTTTTTTCGCAAGTTTCTTTATTTTACCCCTAAATCTCATTTTTATCGACTGATTTTTGGCTCGATAGATTCGGTAGAATCTGTTAATTCAAAAAGGATAAGTTTCATCTACAGACTATGTATACAAGCGAAATTATGATCACCCCTGAAAAATTCTCGTCCATCCCCCCTTAAGCATATATTCCAAATCTCTTTTATGTCTTCAATAATTTACTTTTTTAAATTAAAGCGCAAAAAATTAAAAAATTTTCAAAAAATTTGTTAGAGGCGATTATTTAGCAAATATAATGATTTTTCTACCATTAATTGTGCGATCTTCTCCTTGAATTTTAACAAAAACAATTACGTACTTAAGCCAAAAAAAAATTCTGAGTTCTTTTTTTCTTTTGTTAATGTAAGATCCGACGGGGACCTTCGGATTATTAGAATTATTAGGGGACATCGGTGAGATTCGGGACACTCGATACATTTTCAGTGTCTACTTTTATTTCACAACTTAAATAAATAGAATTGAAATAAATGTTTAGCAGGCTTAAAGTTTTATATCATTTGCATTTAAAAGTATTTATTATATCGAAGTTTTCAAAAATAAATCGATAATCTTAATTTTATTTTTTCCAAAATATTTATTATATTATTTCCAAAATAATTTTTCGAAACAGATTCCAGCAATCGACAGATTTTGGCTCGCGGGCGCTCAAGTTCACAATCGATAAGATCACAATTTTCAGCGATTCTTCATTCAAAGGGCATTGATAAGTTTTTTTGAATGCTTAAAATGCCGTTGATACAAAAAGGATTAATTATTTATTACAAAAAAATCGGAAAAAAACATCAAGGCAAGGTTTTGTCAATCAGACTAAATTTTCTTGATGATTCCAAAAGAAAATCATTGGCTAAGGCCTAAAGGAAAAAATAATTTTTCGCACTTAGTTGTCTCTTCGATAAGGTTTTGTTCAAAGATTGACATCACGAATAATCAAATTAAGCAAATTAATTTATTTTCCAATGAAAATTTTTATATATGGTTGATCTCTCTAAAAATGACGAATATCATTTTGCAAGAATAAGACTAGCATATTCTTGATCAGCTTTTTATTCTCTCTCTAAAGACCTCTTAATCGTCCGCATCAGAGATCTCGGCGCTGGTCTTTGAAAAAATGGAGCGTTTTTAGGCGAGTGGCCAACCGAAAGATAATCAGTAAGCTGACAGTTAGGCAGTCTCTCCTGATTTTATGTGTTTGAGTCCGCTGAAACTCGCGTGAGTTGTGTGATTTATTTGGCGTTCTTATTGTTGGATGTCCTAATCTCAAATCTGAAGGAAAAATTAATTTCATTCCACATCAAATGATAAAAAAAAGATTGGTGAAAGATCCAAGAGTAATGTCATAAAATGCGTCGTAAGCAAATACGCTCGCTGATCGATTACATCCATCAGTAGCAGTAATTGTATTTGCATAATAAAACGTCTCGAGCATATTTGGCAACCAAGTCGCTATGAATATAATCTTGACGACAATTATTCGCAGTGTCGCTTCCAGTGATTTGTTCAGTTGTTTCTTCCTTTCGGCCTTCTTCCGGTTTCTTTGAATTTATTTTAAATTTCTCGTTGCTTTGATGATCGTGATTATCAGCCAGGCTGCGAGAGGAACGATGACAAACCAACAGAACGAACGAAACCGGCGAAGCAAGGGCCAGCTGTCATATGATGTGCAAGCATCTGATATTCATAATTTTCTTCTCATGAGAATAAAATTTATCTTAATTTTACTTAGAAGACATTGAGAAATGAGCAGATGCTGTGTTGATTCCCACTGTTCTCTTCTGAAGCCACTTCATTCTGAAAACAGAAAAGTTGAAGACAAAGATGAAAGTGTTCTGCCTCGCCACTATTGCGACCGCAAGCATTCTTCCTGAACGACTCGGACAAGGTGTCATCGTCAACGATTCGATCATCGATGAAGAATTCATGGTAGGTCATGGTTTTCTCGATTTTAATAACCAATCATAAGACCGAAGTTCTCGCGGCTCCAGAGGGACGTGCTTTCAAAGACGACTGCGTCAACAGCCTCAGCGCTTACCACCGCAACGCTGTCGAAGCCTGCGATGCTTTGGTTCTAAACAACAAGTACCGACAAAACCACGCAGCTAACAACTTCGTTGTTCCATCAAAGACCACCTGCGAAGGCGCTCAAAAGTGGGCCCAGCATTTGGCCGACAAGTCTCTTGCTCAAGGAAAGCCTATTTTGGAGCATTCGCGTAAGGAAAACAAGTCAGAGATTCAAGACTAAAAGTAATCTAGCAAGCTCTGAGCGACCAGGAGAAGGCGAAAACATCGCTTGGTCCTCCTGGGGCGGAAGCACCATGAGCTCTGCTGTCACCATGTTCCAAAGTGAAGATGTCAACTGGAACTTCTCCAGCGCGACTTGCAAGAAAGACAAGGTCTACGGCCACTTCACCCAGAATGTCTGGCAATCGACCACTAGCGCTTGCTACGCGAAGGCAGTCAACTCCCTCGGAACTTGGACTGTTGGCCGATACAATCCTCCAGGAAACTACATAGGTCAGGAGGCCAAGAATGTCGACAGCCGTGGACCACTTGATGGAAACTACGTCGGAAGCAATTGAAGAAAATCAATTCAAAAGAGAAGAATACATCCTGTCTTTTTTTAACTCAATAAACATGTTCTTTTCAAGAAAATAAATACATATTGTTTTTTTTATGATCAAGTTTATTGAAAAATCAAGATTTCGCTGGCACAATTATTCCTCGATTATGATTTCCCAGCTGAGTATGCTTGCTGTCTTCGTAAAAATGAACCGATCTTTCCTTTGCCGACTTGCTTCGGAAGCTCTAGAATTGAATAATCAACTAGAATTTCGAAAGAAACTTGCATTTATCTTTGGCCCGGCGGATTTGAATCGCTTCATTGTCCACTGCGGGCCATCTACTTTATCATCTGGGTTCTTAAACATTGTTATCGCTGTTCAGTGGTGTCAAAATTTAACCTTTGATCGGGTAGATCTGAGAGCAGAAGTGAGGGTGCCCTGAAGTTTCTTCCGCTGGATGTTTAATTCTTCTTCTTTTTGCTATTGGAAATTTTAAAAAATATAATTATAATGAGATCAAAAACCTGAGCGAGACGTTGATCTTGAAGTTTTCTTTCAATCAGCCAGTTTTTCTGGAATTTGTGCTCGATGACTTCGTAGATTGGCGATTTTGGTCGTGACTAGAATTTAAGTAAGATGGGGGGGGAGTAGGGAGGGAGGTTACCGGTTTGCCGAATGTCATATCTTCTGGAACTGAAATTCGAGGTTTGACATCACGTGATGGAGGAGTAAGTCGGTAATCATTCAATGCTCGAAACTGAAAATCGAAATTTTAAGAAATGCTTCTTTCATTTGAAAACAAACCTGTTTTTGTCCAGAAGCAGAAATGCAGCCAGCCTTGAGCGCTGCTCGATTTAGCCTGACAAAGTCCTTCTGCATCATTTCCGGCGAAGCTGACTTTATTCTTGCATTGAGCGGAGAGTACTGAAGCGCACCTGCAGTACCACCGTCAGATTTGACATTTTTATGGCCAAACGTGGCGCCTGGAGGGAGAGTATAACCCCGCTCCAGGCAACGCCCGAGTTTCGGGCGCTGGATCAGGTGATTTTCTCGCATGGATCCTCTGAATGTCCCGATTCTGAATATTTTTGTTCAATTTTCAATTTATTTTTTGTCAAAATTTAATTTTTGAAATTGATTTTCTTATTAAAAATTCTCTAAAAATTCTTTTCTCGAAAAAACTTACCGAAAATCCTCATTGATCTGCATTTCTCGATCGAATTAAGTATGTTTTCTTCTATGTTTTCAAAACAGGAAATCTGTCAGAAGGTCTGTCTTGTTTACGCTCAGGCCGCGAGAAGAAAAGGATAAAGATCGAAAACATTGGCTGCCCGGTTGCTAAGGAGATCTTCATTGTGATAGATTAAACAAGTGTTAAGGCGATCGCTTTCGAAAATGCCATGCAAACACTTGCTTTTTGGAGATTTTTCGGAAAATATTCTCCTTTAATCATTATCTACATCATCAATGGACATTCTGAAAATAGTAAAAATAGGATAATTGAAATTCCAGCACCCTGCGCTCGGCAATCTGCACAGAAAACCTTAGGAAGGATCTGAAAGATCTCTACCTTCCCTAATTGAAAAGCCTGTCTCTACTGTTGAATATCCTGAGCAGACGCAAATGACAAACTCTCTCTCGATCTGACGCTCATGAAAAAGAGGACAGCTTTTCAAAGTCGATAATTTGAGCCGATATCTTCTAGACAAAAAAGTTAACTGTGCCCTTATTTCCCCTTTTTCTCTAGATGACCGGCAGCCTCAATTTTCCCAGCAATAACTGCATCAAATTTAGACAAGAGCAGACCCCTGAGGAATTTAGACTCGAGAGAAATGTAGGAACTAAGATCGGAGGCTGATCTGATGTTTTAAAATTTCGCATCACCTTGGACTTATTTCCCAGATTTTACTTGAACAATCGACCAACAACAACGGCTGTTTTGATGAATCGTATTTTGAACTCTTGAATTTCAGAATGGCAGCATCGGAATTGTACATCGACGAGCTATTTCAATCCCTAAATTTTTTCCCGTCCGAGTTGAACTCCGTCCTTGAGGACATAAAGATCTTGGACACGGAAGTCGAGCTTCAGAAAAAACTCGCTGGAGAAATGTTTGAGGTAGTTTTTTACGGTCATTAGTTTTTCAATCTATTATGAGGACTTCTCAACAAAATCGAAAGAAAATTTATCGAAGAAAGAAAGGCGAAAAATGAGAAATGACATTGATGATGTCTGGAAGACAGCGGAGAAAATTCAAAATGAAAAGATTATTTTGGCGCAGGGTCTTTCAAAAAAGGTGAATTTCTCAATGAAAAATATTTTATAATGAATCTTTCAAGCTTGATGAAGAAATTTCTCGATTGGACGAGAATGTCTGGATGTTCGAAAACTTTCTTGGCAAAGATCGGGGCACCTTGTCAAATCGTAAGCTTATCATTTTCATAGAAAATCATCATGATTCATAAAATTAAGCCACATCTCCTAATCAAAATGTGGACGACATGCCAATCGATCCAAACGAGCCGACATATTGCTACTGCGACCAAGTTTCTTCAGGAGATATGATTGCTTGCGACAATCCTACGGTAAAAATTCCAAATAAACAAGCTTAACATAGGTTTTAGTGCCTCATCGAATGGTTTCATTTTCAATGCGTGGGAATCAAGAAAGAGCCAAAAGGAGATTGGTACTGCCCAGACTGCATTAAACTCAAGGGTCCGTCGAAAAAGAAGAAGAATTGAAATCCTGCTATAATTTATTCCTGTGAGCAAATTGATAATACAGCCAAAAACTTATTCATTTACAGTTGGTTCTTCGGAGAGAAAGTTTTTCTTATCGAGGGCATAAACCCGTCCTTTTTTCTTCGCAACAGCATTGTAGACGCAAACCATGGCTGTCGAAATTACGATGACGAAGCAGATTCCCTTAAAAGAAATTCTTTTCTGCAATCAAGAAAGACTTTCTTACCCAAAGCAAAAAGACCATGGCAAAACTTTCAGTTCTAACTTCGCATTTTTCTCCAGAAAATCCATATTGACAAGAGCAAATTGGCTCAAATGAGTCAAGGGCGTTGATGCAGACGCCATCATTCATACAGTAATCAACAGTGTAATATTCAGTGGCATTTTCGCAGGCGTCAAAACATTCTGTTCCCTTTCGCTTGCCATTTATCGCGGCAATGTCGACAAAAGGGTCGTTGCATCTGCACTCAAAACTTCCGTCTTGATTGAAACACTCTGCGTTGACGTCGCAATTGTGAATGTCTAGCTTGCACTCGTCAACGTCAAAAACTTGAATGCTCTCTGGATCGATAAAAACTGCTCTTCCAGATTCGATGCTAGCGTAGTCGACTGCTCTTTTCATCCAGCGATACCAGATTAATTGATCCCAACCGGCTCGGCCTTCTTGGAGCTTGATTGTTGTTCGGAAAGCGATTCCTTTCGTTCGAGGTGAAAACTCGGTGACTTGAGCTTCGATGAAGGTATTGAGGGTTGAGTTGAGGAGATCGTGAATGACGCCGGTTAGATAATGCGATGCGGAGATGAAATCGTCGGAAATGGGATTTCCAAGGCTCTTTTTCCAGGGGATAGAAGGTGTTTCTGCGAGCATAACAAATGTATCCACATCCACGCACTAGAAATTTCTATCAAAACATCTTCTTCAACTAATAGATCATTACCTTTTTCGTTTTCTCAGAAAGCCCCTCAACTGGTAAGCAGCTACTTCTCTGACATCTTCTACCTTCCCAGCCATTTGAACAAGTACACTGACCGGTTTTCTCATCACATTTTGCACCGTTTAGGCATAAATCATAATTATTCTTTTTGCACTTATCTGACATCTCTTTTTTTTTGAAAAAATCTTTTGAACACCCTTAGACTTTTGATATTTTCACAGCTTTGCCTGAGGCGTTGCGTTAGAATTGGTGCACGATGCTTTAAACAATAGTGATAATATAAGTTGATGAATTCGGTCATAAAATTCTCTTGTAACTTATGAGAGTAGATAAAGATAAAAAATGATTTATTGCCAAAGGGTGATATTTATTCTGAGGTTATGTGAAAGACCAGATCAGTAATGTTAACATCCATGCAAATAAAATCTTGCAAAAACCTCACCTCTCATGAGCATCTTTTTATTGCAGGAGAAAAAATGAAAGCATTGCTATATTTTTTCCTTTGCTCTGAGTCGGCTGGAGGAAGCGCTAGTAAGTTTTGAGAAAGAGAGTTTTGACCCTAATTATTACTCTTAATAAGAGTCTCTTATCCTAAAATGAGAGAATGATCACAAGAGGTTTCAGGTCGAAAAAAGACTACAAAATGCAACACTCTGAGTCCAATTGAGTCTCGAGCAGGTTTGACTTCCGAGTGCAGTAAAGTCAACGGTCGTCAAAGATGCACCCTTTCTTGCGAAACAACTTGGTTCGAAACCGCGGAAAATGACCTCAAAGTTGCATGTAAATGTAACAAGGAGTCTCACTGCTTCTGGAGTTTTTTGAACAAAAATGTTCCAAAAGAAAGTCGCGTGCTCACCGATTTGGGGAAGCTTGAGGAGTACTGTCCGATTCCCAATGACGAAAAGGACGATTTTTCGGAATATGAGTCGAGCGAGTATGAGTCGGATAGCTACGCTTATGAGGAGTCAGAATCAGAGGAAGTCGAAAAATTTCTGAAAGATGAAGAACAAGCCAACAACAATCGACAAACGAATCAACACTTAGACGCAGGTTAATTGAACAAAGATTAAATATTGATAATAAAAATCCTATTAAGAAAACGCCCTCGATCGAATGCTTGCAATCATGGAAGACCAAGAATGCGGCTCCGAAATTCGAACTGATTGGCAGAAAATCACGATTGCAGCTGGTTTCATGTACCCCTGCCTCGATTTGGTTTCCCCTTCGATCTTTTTCGCAAGTCGAAATAAACTTGCAGAATGCGAGGCTGGTGACTTGGAGCGTTGTTGGAGCAGCTTTTTTGTTAGCTGGATTGTTGGCGCATCGCTTTTTTGGATCGCTGCTTGGGGACTTTCATGCGTTGCCGCTATTGTTTTTCCTCCGCTTATTCCAGGTAACAATTTCTAGTGAGAAAATAACAAACCATCGAACTTGAACTAGTGTTTGTCCTTTTCATGGCTCCTGCGATCGTGATCGCTAAGAGGGGATACAAATATTCTTTCGGTGATTGCGAGATCAATTGGACTCTTCATGAGTTTTTTGAAAATAATTGGTAAAGAATCAAAATTGAGTAAAAGTTAACAAATTTTTTAGAAGACGATGAACAAAAATTTCTCCATTTCTTTGATATCTTATCTGAAAATCACATTTATTTTTGAGAAAATATATTAATTTGAAAACTTACTCCTGCGTCATTCATTTCTATGCAGTCAGTTTTTTCTAAAGCGACCTTTTTCGGCTTATCAGAAGGCCAATTCTTGTTATGAACGCAAGAAAAATTTCGTCATTCTTATTCTTGAGAAAACGTCAACGAAAAAAAATACAAATTTTTTGTGTTCCAAAATACGGAAGTCGAATGAGCTCTGCCTAGACATGTTCTTGAGATGCAAGAAATTGATAAGATCGATGTGACTGATCGATGATATTCTCATACTGTTATTATAATGATGTATGACTTTCTCGAATGGACTTCACATTGATAATTCCTCTTTGAACAATTTCCGTCCGATTTCCGAACATTTTTTCTTTCGAAACAGTATCTTAGTTCCGAATCCAAAAAGAAGAATAACGGTGGCAAAATTCGAGTTGAGATGTTTTCATAAAAATCCCCCGAAGATCCGAAAACATCCCTTTGAGGTACAATTTCTTTACCGCCAGAAGAGCATCTTGAACGAAAAAAACACGCTCTTGAGAAAACAAAACAGATAAAACAAGAATTTCTTTGTTCGTTAGTAAATTTCAATTTCCGAGAAATTTCATGATGAAATTTTTTTAAGTAAAAATTTAAATCAATAAATTTTATCGTGGAAATAAAATCTTGAAGAACCAGATGTTATCTCAATGTTTACTTTTTTTAAGGGCTGCACTAGAAGGAATTTTGCTTTACTGAGCCTAAAATTGAGGGTAATCGTGAGGTCTTGTGAGAGCCACTTCGAACAGGAAAAATTAAGAAAAAGTGCAAACGTGCTAAAAAGATGCCAAACATGATGTCAGGTGGATTTCTATATTGACCGCAGATGAATTTTCGTGGCCCAAATTGACTAGGCATAATTCGTCCGCTTTCTTGGTTTTCCTGATTTGCTTCAGAGTTTCTGAGAAAAACCCTGCACTTCCAGCTAAAATCTAGGAAGAAACCTGGAGCTCGAGGGCCCTTAAAAGGAAACCGCTGTAAATTGGAGTGTTTATATAATGCTCCATAAAAATACCGCCCGATCGGTAAGTCCTTGCGTCATCAAAATGAAAGGAAATATGCACATAAAAAGAGCTTCTAATGAAAATTGATAGCTTCGAAAAACCATATGAAGCAAACATATGGTTATGTTCAGCCGATCAAAAAGAATGTACTTAATGATGATGAATACATAACTAAACGTGCTCGGAAGAGTCAGCGTAATTTTTAAGTGTCTTTTGAGAAATATTAAGGGCGGCTCATGTAAAAATAAGCATCAGGAATTTCACAATTCGTGTTTCAAGCCTGGAAAATCCGGAATCCATGACTGATTGACTGAGTTTTTGAGAGTAGTACAAAGACTATTTTTATCCAAAAAAATTGAGTAATGGTGGAGTACAACTTTAGAAAAAATTACAGAAAAACACATAAGTTGTTACGAAATAAACTCTTGATTGATGATTTGATTTTGCAGCGGTGTTTTTGGTACGGCGCGGTACTCGTAGCGGTGGCGCTCTTTCCGCCCGTAGTATAAATCTTCGCCGTCTGTGCTGTTTTTGCATCATTCCCGGTCAAAAAAAAGAGTGAAGATGATTTCCTTTTTTCTAGCGTTTCTCGCTTCGGCATCCCAGGCGTTCCAGATCCAACATAACCAGGTAGGACAGTATGCAAATATTGAGGGAAAAAAGGATGGATTGAACGATGAAGACCAAATTTAGTTATGGCCGCAAGTTTACCACTACGCGGTTTTTGTGATTTCTAAGTTTGCAATGCCGCCTAGATCCGACGCTAGAATTCTTAATTAGGTCAGAAATCTCGGCTTCCGGAAAATTTGGTTATTCAAGCTCTTTTTAATGTTTGTTTTTTCTTCCTTATTCGTCCCGCAGTTCTTTCCCTAAAAATACAGTATTATCTTTGAACATCTCGAGTCATTTTCCTTGGCTTTGAAACTTCAAGTCATGGAAATTAAAAAATCTGTCTAAAGTCGAATTGGACATGACTTAATAATTAAATTTCCTTTTCTCCTAAGCCTCGTTTCATGACCATCATTTTAAGCATTAGCACACGCCACTATGTTCTAAAAGAAATTGATGACTCAAGAAAGAGCATTCTTATGTGTTCGACACCGGTAGCTCGGTTCAACAGATTTCACGCTCCCTTCATTCTCTTTTCTTAGGGCGCCGCGGTTTTCTATAAAAGCCCGCGCGATTGACCGAGTTTTTCATAAGAGAGAATGAAAATGACAATTTTATTTTTCTTTTTCTTTTTGACTCTTGAGGCGAAATTTTTTATCTCGACTGTAAGAAACGACTAACAAATATTTTCAATAAAAATTTTTTCAGGATCCAGTTTCAAGAATCGTAAGTTCTTCTGCTTTGATTTCTGCTCAAGGAAAGGTTTTAATAATTTTAACAAATTTGTTTCAAAAAAGCTTCGTTAAAACCATCAACAGAAAATCCCCTTCGCCGGTACCGCCGAAATATTGACGAAACTTTCTGCCAAGGGCAAGCGAACAACGGCCACTACGAACACTGTATCTGCCAGAAGTTCTACCACTGCTTCGAGCACGACTCTACTACTGTTAAAGATTGCGGACCGGGGACTGTTTGGGATCAGAGCTTCTTAGTCTGCAATTTTCCCAATGCTCAGAATACTGCGAACTGCTGTGATTTGAGATTTTCGAATTGTGAAAGCGAGTGTCCTACAGGAACAACGAGCACAACCAGCACTACTACAACAACTACGACCACTACCACGACTACAACCTCAACCACAACAACGACAACGACCACAACGACAACGACCACAACGACAACGACCACTACTACTACAACGACTACAACTACCACTACTACAACTTCAACAACTACAACAACAACCACGACAACCACAGCAACAACAACGACTACTTCAACAACAACAACTACAACAAGTACAACATCAACAACAACGAGTACAACTACAACAACGAGTACGACTTCAACCACAACCACAACAACTTCTACCACAACAACAACTACGACATCAACTACGACAACAACAACGAGTACGACTTCGACGACTAGTACCACAACAACAACCACCAGTACGACATCAACCACCACAACAACCACAACCACGACAACATCAACAACGACAACAACTTCAACTGTTACCACGACTTCTCAGCAGACAACATCTTCGACCGAAAATCGAGCCAACATCATCTGGTGGATTCTCAACAATTTTGGCCAGAACTTCGACCTTTCTCTCCTCGAAAACTATGGCTGCGCAGGTCGAGATCTCTTCAATGTTTTCAAGAAAAACGTGGGCCAGCCGGTCGATGCGGTTGATAGAGCGATCAACAAGTGGAAGAAGTGTTCTCAGTGTGCGATGGACGTGTTTTTCAGCGGTGAAATTGAGACACCGGGGTATTTAGAGCCAGTAAATCAAGTTTGTGGTAAGTTTTTTAAAGATTTCCGAACGACGAATCGAGCAAATCATTTTTAGCTTCTGGAACTGAGCTTGAAACGGCCATTTGTGAGTGCGATAAGCAGCTTACAATGACCTTCCTCGCCCTGAAAGACGAAAACAACGGTCAACTTGACCTCTCCAATGCAAATTTCGATGTTGAAAATTGCGTCCACGGCGGAGCCGGAGTAGGTGGAGAGCTCTTCTGCTGCCAGAGATCGTCTGGAAGCTTTTCAATGTACAAAACTGGTCGATTCTGTTGCGAAGATAACAACCTTCATGCAGTTGGATCATGCGATCAAGATGAAGGAATTCAATTCTTTGAGAAAATTTCTATTGTATGATTTCTTTATTAGTTCAATTTTAATTTCAATCTTGCCTTTGTACATTAATCCTCAATAAAATCATTCAAAAAATATTTTTGTCGTCAAGAAAGAATTTTTTTGGGTCAAAAATCTCCTGAAAAGTATTTTCTTTGAGAATTTTTAGCGATCATTGCCAGCCATTAATTCTTTGTTCCCGAAACTTTGGCAAATAAAAAAAAAGATTCTGCGCGTTCCGCTTTCGAAGTTTAAAGTTATGTGCGCTGTCTAATCTTCTGGCTGCAAACAGAAACATTTTTCCTGGGCAAATACGAACGGGAGGCCCAATGGACTCTCGCCCCTTTTTCTTTCGTTTTTGCGAAACCGCGCCAAAAGACATACAGGCGCAAAACAGTTCTTTCTCCCAGTGGGAGACGATTGCTTTTTTTATTCAAAATCTTCACTAGGTTTTGCTTGAAAAAATAGAGAAAGATAAATAAAGAAAAAATGAACGACGCAGGTAAAAAGAAAAAGAAAACGCTGGGAAATATTTTCTCGATCACGGCAATATAAAATCAAGAATGACTTAAATTGGATTAATTTTATTGATCGCTTTTATGACCGAGTATTTGCAGAATCTCAAGATCGAGGCAGTATCAAAAGAGCCGCATTTTTGCGGCGGCGGATGTAGGATTCAATGGCGAAATTAAACATTTACTTTATGATAAATAAGCCGGATAACAGTACAGTAGTAAACTCTATTCACAGTCAAATTCCGGAGAGAGGAATCATTGAACAGTCTTTTCTAAAAAAATCGAAAAATTCAGAATTCTGGATTCTAGAATGAATTTTCTGGAACCATAAAAGCTCTTATTAGATAAAGAATTGATTTTTTTCGAAAAATACTTAATTTGATACAAGATTTTTAACCAAATTGTGAGCTACATAAACCAGCCGGGCTGATTCATACCCTGGATAATACTGGCAAGCCAGTAAAAAGTATTATTATAATCAAATCTAAGAAATATTTGAAAAAGGCTGTGTTCGCCATTTAGCATGTAGAAAACCTGAGTCAGGATCTGCGATCGTCATTTTGAAAGCGCTACGCAGTTTTTTCAAGGGTTTTCCAGAACCCTGACTCTGGCTTTCTACACAGGCTACGTCGGTATATTTCGATCAGACGACAAGAATCCGAACAGTTTATCTTCTTTTGTCTCGACAATAAACTCTTCTTTATCCAAAATCCTCTTCATCAAGAGAAAAATCTCAATAAACCACTTTTTTCTATTTTCAAAAGCAGCTTCAATTTTGTCGTCTGCCAGAATAGTCTCTTCTTTCAACTCAACTGTGGTTGTATTTTTGTGTGGCATTCGCTCTCTTTTTGGGTGTGTGAGTTTCTAAGCCGGATTAATTTTGAGAAAGTGAATAGCTCGCTATCCGCGTTTTTCATCATAATTGAGCCCATCGGCCCGTTCAAAAATATCCAAAATCAGCCGCTCTGTGAACTCATCCGCTAAAAGACCTTGTGTAAATAATTGAAATCATCATTTTTTAAATTTTTTCGGAAAAAATGGAATTATGAGATGAGCTGGTCAGAGAGCGTTTTCGAAGAAGAATCTTTTTCCGGGAAAGAAGAGAAAGTGACCTTTTGGTTTTAGACAGCTTCCAGAATGATGCGCTATGGAGGAATTTCTCACAGCCGGATGTTCAAGAAAAGGTATGAAAGGATCATTTTTTGATGTTGAAATATAAGGGATCCTGGCTCTAATCGACAAAAAATGCATCAAATAATTCGAATTTTTCGCGACATTTTTTTCTGAAATCTGATTGGTCGACAAGAGAATCGCGGCAATCTGATTGGTCTAAATTTTTATCAAAATTTCTTAAAATTTTTTCTTTAAATTTTTTTTTTCGATTTTAATAAGGATTTTCGACAATAAACACGAATAATTCAATACTAGGAAGGGGTTGTTTTTGTCTTTCATTGAATTGCATTAAAAATAAAAATAGGAAAAATTTGATGGGAGGTGTTTTTATTGTTTTTATTTATTTTTGCGTCAGCATAATTGAACAATAAATCTGAGCGAGATCATCTCGTAGAAAATCAATTAAGATTATCAAAAAATAGTTAATTAAAAAAACAAATTCACAATTTCAGTCGCGAAAATCACGAAAAGTGTCGATCGAGCGATGGCAGCACATTCAAGAAATCGAACGCGAAAACGGCTCGGACGGATTCAAACGACCGCGACGGCCAAAGATCACTTTCGAAGGTCACATTCTATTGCTCGATACTTGCAGAGGTTTGTTTACAAACTCGAGAAAGAGCCAGAGATTTAACAGATTACTCATAATCGCCTGGATAATTGAATTCAATTAGGGGAAATCGCCCCCTAAAAATAGGCGTGATTCAAAAATGAATTGCCAATTAACACTTTATTAACTATTGTAGCTGGGAACGAAGATGAACTACTGCACCTTATCTCTAATGGCGTTGATGTGAACTGTGTCGGACCTACCGGAGAGACTCCCTTAATTCTCTGCGCTGCAGCTGGCCATGCTCGTTTGGCTCTTCACCTGGTCAGGGCGGGAGCAAATGTCGATGCTTTCGACATGGATGGCTGGACTGCCCTGCATCATGCCTGCTACCACGATCACTACAGGTACTAGCTTTTACAGTATTTCTTCGATTCTAACATCTTGAATAGCGTGATGCTCCAACTGCTCGAAGCAAAAGCCAACGTCTTCGCCGTCGATTTCGACCTAAACTTCCCAATCAACCACATTCGCCACAACTCACCATTGCTTCTCACCATGAACCGCCAAATGACGAGTCGAAAAGGAGTCAACCCAGAAGTAATCCGCGGCAATCACTCGAGAATTTTGAACGAAATGACGCTGAATATGATCGCAAGGACAAAGAAGGCGAACTGCTTTATTTCTGGACTCAAGGATTTTAAAAACGAGGAGACTGGTGTTACCCTCGCTCATTGCCTGGCTAGCTATGGGTAATTTGACAGAAACAATATTTTGAAAAAAAAATTGGAAACCATAAATTATGTTCCATAATGGTCTGAAAAGTTTGAAAAATATATAATTTTTTTCTTAGAGATATTTTGATAAAAATAACAAACTATACTAACAAACTTCTTGATTCATACCCTGTCTAATAAATATATGATAAAAATTCTAGAGCTAGCTTATTTTTGAGAAAATATCATAAACCTTCAATTTTGACCAGCAATACACTCTTTTTTATTCTTATACCACCGAAAATATAATTTTAATTAAACAATATACCGACCTATTCATCCCTTGAAACAAGTGAAAAAAAATTATACGACTCATTTCTTCAGACTTCATGAAGCGCTCCAGGTCATCATCGATTTGGACAAAGAAGTCGTCAATAAAATCGACTTCTCCGGCTTCACTCCTTTACACTGCGCCGCAAAATTTGGCCAGCTCGAGTGTCTAAAGGCATGATAAGCTAAAGGCGAATTCGCAAAAATTTACGATTCTCTTTCAGGTGCTACTCAAAGCTGGCGCTGATGTTAAAGCGATGGACAAATACCAGATGACAGCTCGGAATTACTGTTTCCAACCTGAAGGCCGCGCGCTTTTGGACGGAGTTCCTGTATTAAACGAAGTCGATGGGAAGCAAGCAACAACCAAGAAGAACAAAAAGAGTTCAAAGAAAAAGCCGATGATGCTCCGAGGAAACCAAAAGAAAGCATCAAAAGACTGCAAAAATCAGTATCGAAGAAAGACTCAAAGAAAACGCAAAGTACTGGTGGAGGCGTTTGCTCCAAATTTATGTAAGTTTATGTCACAGTTAGCAACACTGCTTTTCAGGCGATGTTGGCTTGTTTGAGCGGATGTCGATAACATCATCGTCAATAGTAGGGGGAGAAAGACGCTTCTCGTTGTCCAAAATCGTACTTAAAATTAAAAACTTATAAAAATAACGGTAAAAGATTCATTAGAATATGAATCATATAATAGGATACAGTGTTTTATGGTTCCTCTACCGAAACAAACTTTTCTTGATCAAGCTTAATTAAAGATATCGATCATCGAGGTATTAAGAAAATCTATTAATAGATTCTTAAAATCAATATTACGGTTTTGTATATATTTAATTTTACCGTATAAGCTCTGTAGCAGCTCGATCGATATTCTTATTTTCTTTCGCCGAAGTAGGAAACCAGCCCGCAAATTCTTTTTCTGCAACAAAATCGTCAAGTTGCGCCTTTTTTGCATCAACTTCGCTTTCCTCCAGCATGTCGATTTTGTTCGCCAAAAGGAAGCATGGGATCTAAAAGGGTGATCAAAAGGGACTGGATCTTACTACCTTTGATCCATCAGCGAGCATAACTTTGCTATCAAGATCATCTTTCCATTTTCGGACGCCTTCAAAAGTCGTGTTCCTGTTTATATCTATCCTGGGCTCAAATCAAGCTCTTTCCATTTATTGAGAATTTGTTGAGCCCTGAAATCAAAAACGATGAATGCTGCCACCGCATCTCTGTAATAAACTCTCGTCATCGTCCCGAATCTTTCTTGACCCGCAATGTCCCAGAGTTGAAGCCTGATGATCGTTTCTGAGTCCCAGTTGATGACTTTCAAAGCGAAATCGACTCCTATCGTTGGCTTTTCCTGGGCTCTCTCTTTTTGAATGCCTATTTTTTCCTCATTTTCCGGGCCCGTTTCTTGTAGGTGCTTCCGAACACATGATGAACGTATCTCTTTATCAGTGAGGTTTTTCCTACCCCGATGTCTCCAATAACAAGGGTTTTGAAAAGATATTCAACCATCTTTCGCAAAATTCAGGTCAAACGTAACTTGACGGCGGTTTTGTGGACTGATGATGCGCCAAATGTGTGATATTTGTTTTCTGTTTTCAGAATGAATTCAATTTTCAACAGCTCAATATTTTCTGTAGAATTTATATTGCGAGGACAAATGCAAATGGTATTTTTTGAATAAATTCAATGGGAAATAACCTTGAAAAGCCTAAATTTTGCATTGAAAATTCCGCTTATGGTCATCACCAATAATTCTTGCTTCTAGAATCCAGGATCTCCGCCGCTACGAAATCACGAATCACTTCCTCCCAATCCGCCGAATGATCGTCACATCCGTCAACTCTGCTCCTCGCGTTCCACCTCGAAATCTTCAAGTTCCTTCCAGAAGTGGCCCTGCAAGTATCATGTCAAAAAGATCGACGCGGTCGAACTCGACTCGCTCGAAAACAGAATCTTCGGCGGACTCAATTCATGATGAAAATCCATATTCTGTCGTCGGATCTCATGTTGATATTACGCCGAGATTGCCGCTTGAAATGTCGACTCCGCTGAAGAGGGATGATATCAACGAGGAGAATCACGAAGAGAGTCCACTACCACCAGGTAAATATTTTTAGTTAAATATGGTTTTAAATTCGAGAATTTTAGTCCTCCCGCCGAAAAATGAAAATCATCAAATTTCCCCGGCGAACATCTTTTTCGGTTCTGAAACTGGGCCATCGACTATCCAGGAGAGTCGAAAAATCAACCGCGAAGAAAAGGATGAAAATGATGTCTTCATCGAGCAGATTCCAGTTCAACGAACGAGTAACTCAATTAAAAAACCACCACGAAATTTTTCTTATTCAAATTCTTCACAGGTAATCTGCTTTGACAAACTTTCGATCATGATGAAATTCTAGAGCCCGAATTCTTCAAACGAAATCAAAGACGAGTCAAGAATAAATGAAACGATGAAGAACTCATTTTTCAACCAAAACTACGGAGAAGCTGAAGAAACTTTACCGCCAGCGCCGATTTTGCCAGAGAAATTAATCAGATCTTCGAAATCTTTTTCTTCAAGAAAAGCCTCTCAAATATTTACCTTTTTAGTTTTTCTGAGAAATTTCTGAGGCTTTGGCAGTGACCCTTCTCCAGTTTCAAAATCTTCCTGTCTCGAAGAATCGCCGCGGTCAACAACACCTGAGCTTCCCGCTAAATCTCTACAAAGCCACAAGTCAATAGCCGCTTCAAAAAGTCAAAGTTCAATCGCCAGCCAAAGTTCACCAGCTCCTTCCCGTTCGAGTTCTTCGATCAAAAGCATTCGTTCCAACTCGGTCGCTAGTTCAAGCGTTCAGGGTCGAGAAGTTCAGTCAGAAGAGAGGAGCCAGTCAAATGGGGACAGATCGAGGTCGAGCTCGGAAATTATCAGGAAGAAAGATAATGGAGTCGTATACATGGAATGCTTGCCGAGAAAAGAGGAAGAAATTGCTGATGAAACGAAATCTTCTGAAAGAAAAAATGCTGATCTTGAAAACAGAAGACAAAATTCAGGTTTGTTTTTCTTCAATGTTTTTGATAAAAAATTTTCACTTCAGAAAAATCATCTTCTTCTTCTTCTCGAAAATCTTCCCTCGCATCTAGTAGCACCAAATCGCAGCCCTCCTTGTTGATCCCCAAAACGCCCGATCTTCTTGACAGTAAAAACGAAGATGAAAACAACAATCGATTCTTTGACAATCAAGAAGAATTTGAAAAAGAACACAAGTCTAAGTTCGATTCTATCAGACAAAAGTTCAATCAGCCTGGAGAGTATCACCTGACAGGTTCAATTTCAAAGAGAGGGATGAATCTTGGAAAGTACGACACGCTTCCGAGACCAAAAAAGCCAGCAAAACCGGTCAAAAAAGGTAAATTTCTATTTTCAAATTTTCGATTTTTTATATTTCCTAGAAATTTTGCCGGAGAAAAGGGTCGAGCAGTCCCCTGAAACAAGTCCCAAAGAAGATATTCCAAACTCGGAGCCTCCGAAAAGCCCAATTATGGAGCAGCTTGATGGAAATATGGACGACCTTGCAAAACTTCTCAAAACGCTCGATTTTTAAAATTATTGAAAAGCAACTGTACAAATAAATTAATAAAGCAGAGAAACTATTTTATCTCTCTATCGGAATAAAAATCAGAAAATGTTCTATTTCGAATGAAAGACAGACTCCATCACAGAGCGAATTAAATATTTTTGCAAGGAATCTTATCATTTATTTTCATTCAAAGACTCACCGATTGAATAGGAAATCAATTGTGAAACTTATCAAAATGAGCACGAGTAGCAATTTGCGTCCAACGCCGAGCTGTGCGAAAACGAAACAATTTGATTCTCACTTCTGCGACTAAAGATCGACGACTTTTTGATTTTGAATCGCATTTTGAATAAATTTGAAAACCGAACACTTTCATCGTATCAAAGGATATCGAAGATTCTCTACTACTACATTTATTTGGAAGATTTCGAGAAAGAAAAGTACATGACCTTAAAGCCCTACAAAATTCGATGATAAGAAGAAGTAGCTATTTTTCTGAACTTAGTTTTTCTTGGAGATTCTAAGAACGTCAAGTCGCAGAAATCCGAAGAGAAGAAAAACGTATAAGCATAAGTGATGGTATCAGAAATTAATATCGATACGCTGAGATTGCTGTTGGCCAGTGGCTGAGCGCTTTGGTCTGTTTACGACTGGGTGACGACTGGAGCAGCGTTCTGGCTGTAAGAGGTCTCGCCAAAATCGACCCATTGCAAGCCCTTAATTGGAATTAATAATTAAATTCACTCAAATAATTGTTACCTCATATGAGTACACTGTGGTTGTGCAAGCTGTTTTGTCGACAACAGTGACTTCGAACCAGTCAGGGTACCATCCATCATCGTCTTCCTCCCAGATTCTAATATCGCCAAGGTTCTCGAGGCAGCTTGCAGGAAGAGAAGAAACATCGATAACGTAAGTATCGATTTGTCCGGGCTCTCGATCGTCTGGTTGGTTAGGGTCATCAAGGTTGAACCAAGTGTCGCAGCCGGCCTTTGGAATTCTTAAAAATAATAATTTATGTATCTTATTTTTGTGAAAATCAACTTACTGGAAGTTGACTGTTCCGTCCGTCTGTGCATGGGACACACTTGATGATGTTCTGGCTCTGATAGTGAAAACTTGCTCGTTTTTCAAGAGACAAATATCATCAAATGTTTGGTAGGAGAAGTTTCGGACAGAGTTCGGTATCAGATCAAACACAAAAGCGTTCAGATCGCCGCTTGAATATGCTCCACTGAGATCGTAAGTCCCTTGAGCAGCCTAAATCTTGGTTTTCGAACGATTATTCAAGCAGGGCTCGGTAAGCAAGCCTTTATTCCTTGCTCAGTTGTAACTCAAAAGTATTGGTATTGTCTTTGCAAAATTTTTTCGCAAAACCTAGCCTGTGTGCCGTCAAAGTTAAATACCCACCGCAATGTGGATGGATCTTCGTCAACTTGGTTGACTTCAAGAGAGTACGTATTCCACTCACCAATCGTGCATGGTTGCATGAATGATTGCCTCTTATCCCATGCGCTTGGGTCGGTCAGACTGATCTCCATCGATCCTGAATCAGGAGATGTGATGACTGAAAATTGTCGGTCTCCGGCGTTTGTCGGTGTGGCATATGGGTCGTCATTCCCCGAAAGATGAATATTGTATTTCCATTCGTTTATGTCTGGGCAAAGAATGTCGGCGGAAACCTTGTAATTACGCGCCGCACTTAAAACCGTTTTCTGACTGCCAACAACAGGGTTGAACTCGCAGCTATCTACGACCGTGCTGCAGCTGTCGAGATCTAAGCAGGGATCAGTTCTTGAAGGGCAGGGATGGAAGGTTTGGTAGTAGAAATTGCGGACGCTGTAGCTGGTTGCAGCGTCGTAGTGGTCGTCGGCAATGTGGACCTGGAGATCCAAGCCAGCTGGAAGTGCGCCTGCACTGTACTGCGATGTATGAAGTGGCGTGTCCCCAATTTTCGACACGTACTCGACATTTCCACTTCCTGAAATCTGTCTAACTTCGACAGAGTAAGTCGCCCACTCGCCGGATGTGCAAGGAAATTCGTCATATCTTTGATACTGACTGAGGGTCGGGTCATTGACAGTGAGATGAAGGTGTCCATCCGGCTTTTGGAAAAGACCAAAGGTTCGATCGCCAACGCTCGCGACGTCTCCACCGTTTCTCGAGACATGGAAAATATTCTGCCAGTTTCCATCAGGTACGCTGTTGCAAAGTACTTCGGCAGAGAACTTGTAGTCGAGAGCTGTTTGAACTGTGGAGACCAGATTGTTTCGGACTGGGAAGAGCGAGCATCCATTGACGATTGTTTCGCAGCTTTCAAGTCCGTCGCAGGGATCGGATTCGCAGGGAGCAGGGGTCGGCGCCAGCGGAAGATTGCATTTGAGCTGCTTAAATTTTCGATTGAAGAGAATGTGGCGCTGGCGGTGAATGAGTCTCCTCATCTTGTGGGGAGCCCATCCGTTGTGCGTGGTGAGGTTGACACCGTCCATGCACACGAATGCATCGTGAAAGCTCATGACAGAAGAGATGAGATTGTTGAGCGAGTGGCAGATGTCATTCTCGTCGTAGTTTGGGAAGACGAAAGCGTTTGGATCGCCGGAACCAGCAAAATTGGCGCAGGAGTCGGAAACTCGGGTCGGAAAATTGTCCACTTTGTTGAGAAAGTCTCGAAGTCGATTGGCCTTCTTGACACCGGGGATGTTGGTTGTCGAGTATTCAGCCAAAATTGCGTCGTAGAGACTGTTGTAGGAAGCCTCGATCGAGGTCCAAGCAGTGGCCGAGCCTCGGTCCTCCAAAGATTGAGCAGTAGCAGCTGCAGAAATGACCGCCGCGAGAACCTTAATTAAATTCCAAAAATTTGATGATAGAAGAAAAGAAAAAAATCAATTTTTGCCCTCAAAAATTTTGTTAAAGACGATTCAAAACTCGATTTCTTTTTCAAATTAAAAAGAGGGTTTTGAAAAACAAAATCTTACCTTCATCTTACTTTCGAGTAAGAAAAGCTTTCTCTGACAAAAGATGAATTTTACGAGTAACAGGCCACTTTATAAAGTTGAAGAAATCAACCGTGTGGTGCGCTCTAGTGCGCCATTTCGAGAAGCCGTGCGTGTTTTTACGAAATTGTTTTGCTTCTCGATTTCGTAATTTCGAATTTCGAAACTCTATTGCCAATTGACAATCGTCTATCAGGGTTTTAACTGAAGGCGAAAATTCTAGGGACCTTTTTTGTTCCTCGTGACACGAAAAATCTAAGTTCAACGAATTATTTTTGACCTAATTTTCCTCATTTCTTAAAATAAATAAAATTTGATGATATGTGGAAGCTAATTGCCAGTGTTTAGCTTTCAGAGGTGCTCTCCATTATCAAAACAATGAGTAAAGATTTTAATGAGATTTTATGATTTTATTAAGAGATCCGTTTTATTTCTGTCAAAAAATTTTTTCAAGATAGAAACTTATACTACTCTTCGGTACTTTCTATTATTTGAAATAAGGGTTAGGGGGCACTAGGTCAAAATAACAGAACATTAGCATAGATAACGCTGAAGCGGCAACACCGCCTGTCTGGAGTTTAGGGTATGGGAGCAGAATTGCATACCTTGGGGCAATATAAAGCTTGCAACTTGACGTGTTTCCAAGTACTCCGTCACGTCCCGAATAATATTCTCGCAAATATTGAACGCGCCACGATACCTCGAAGCCCGGCTTGTTGGGACATAATGCCGCAGTAGAAATCGTCAAAATAGTACTGCGAATTGATATCTTCGCTGCTTTATTAATTTATATTTATTTTTTTATATATATTTTATTACTCTAAATTTTTGTACAGTTACTTTTCAATAATTTAAAAAATCGAGCGTTTTGAGAAGTTTTGCAAGGTCGTCCATTTTTCCATCAAGCTGCTCCATAATTGGGCTTTTCGGAGCCTCCGATTTTGGAATCGTATCTTCTTCGGGACTCTTTTCAGGGGACTCTTTCAGTAAGCTGATTTTCCCATAAATATGATAAATACTATTTTTATTTTTAAGAATTCCAAAGGCCGGCTGCGACACATGGTTCAACCTTGATGACCCTAACAAAGACGACCAAGAGCCTGGACAAATCGATATTTTCGTACTCGATGTTTCTTCTGTTCTCGCAGTCCGCAGTTTCTTGAGAATTTTTGAAAACTGCGAGTTTTCCACAGTCATTTTCCGTAGTTTTTGACTAATCCCGCAGTTCGCAGACTGCGGATTCTGCGGTCATTTTCAAGCCATTTTTCAAGCTTTTCTCTTTTGAAATACTGGAAAAACATGAATAATAAGGCGTCGTAAGAATGGTCTCCGTTTTTCCCAAGTTTAGCGAACGGCGACTGGGTTGCTAATGAACAGCTCATGCTCACATGTACATGAGCTGCTAGTGAACCTAGAGTAATTTCAAAATTTTAAATAAAAACCAGAATAGAGTAAAAATCTTTGATAATTTGAATTTTTACAACAATGGATGAGGGTGGGGCTGGGGACAGTACTGAGATTGATCACCTTGGAGTTCCTAGCCAATGTCAAGCCCCTTAAATTAACAAATCAAGGAACGGGGCTGAAACGGCCCAACTCGATTTTTTCCACCTTGTTAGATTCGAAGATTAGCAGTTTCTGCTAATTTTCCGCAGTTCGCAGAAAATCGCAGTCTGCGGCGCACTGCGAAGAGAAAATTTTGAATCTCGCAGTTCGCACCGCAGTCGAAAATTTTTGAAAATGTACATCCCTGCCTGCAAGCTGCCTCGAGAACCTTGGCGATATCAGAGTCTGGGAGAAAGACAATGATGGATGGTACCCAGACTGGTTCGAAGTCACTGTTGTCGACAACACAGCTTGCACAACCACTGTGTACTCATATGAGGTGATGATTAATTTATGAATTCAACTTTAAATCTCAATTTAGGGCTTGAAATGGGTCGATTTTGGCGAGACCTCCTACAGCCAGAACGCTGCTCCAGTTGTCACCCAGTCGTAAAAAGATCAAAGCGCTGGCCACCCGCGATTTCAGCGTCTTCTCTGATACCATTATTACTGCTTATACCGTATTTCTTTACTAAGGCTTCTTTACTAATTGCTTTGGCACGCAAGGCTAACATGCCACCAAAAACATGTCATCAGAACCAAGAAAATTTTGAAATCAATCGATCTGAAATCACACAGAAATGGCGATAATAATAGGGGTGGCGTCTGGAATCGACAAAAAAATTCCGACAAAAATTTTCAAAAAAAGACACTTCAGAAAAAATACTCTTAAAATTATAGTAAAGTTGACGAGTATTTAATACATTATCTCTTTTATTGCAGAAGCTTTTTGCCTTTCGGCATCATCAGTGCTACAGGAAGTTAGAAACATACAGAAAACAAAAAAGCAGTTACCTTTAGAGACGCAAAGTTGTATCTGACAAAACCACGAAAACAAACACCGAAATCCCTTCTGTTCTAGAGAATTTTTTCCTTTAAAAAACAAAAACAAGCGCAAAGATATTGACAATCAAGGGCCTCAATGGTTGCCCCTGTCTCATTGTCAATATCTTTGCGCTTGTTTTTGTTTTTTAAAGGAAAAAAGCGAAAAGCTTCTGCAATAAAAGAGATAATGTATTAAATACTCGTCAACTTTACGATATGAACAAAAAATTTGATCGACGAACAAAGAAGTTTATGGAACAGCGCTGGACGAAAGTTCACCGTAACCAGAAACATTTGCAGTTCTTAAATGAATGCAAAGAAAATAACCTGCTACCACGATGCACCTACATTCCCTCTTCCGTTCTACAGTATACAAAATGGAACAAGCCAAAAATATTGAAAGAACGACGACGAATCCTGTACGAAAAAATCAGGTCAGCCGAAGATAATTTACTTATAGTAAATACAAAGTTTCAAAAACAATTTGCGCAAGCATGTTCTAGAAACAATTTTTCTCCATCTGTTATTTCTCACCTTAAAAACTCTATTATTTCTCATGTAAATAATCTTGAACGTTCCCGTGACAATACTAGATCTGCAAAACTTACTAAACTTTTTAAATTTTCTAAATCAGAACCTTTTAAATTTACCGTTTTGAACTTTACCAAGATCAAACCACCAGAATCTGTTCTATCAATTTTATCAAGAGGTACTAAGTTTCCGTTGGGTGGTTCACCGCATAGTATCAAATTAATGGGTAGTTTTGATTCATTCCTTACCAAATGGAACAAACATTTAGAAGAAACGGGCGTTAATCCAATCACTCGCTTTCATCTTAAAGGACACGCAATAAGAATTCATGAATCGCTTACAAAATGTTTTTCTAATGATAACTCTGCAAAAATTATTCGTGAGTTTCAATCCAAAAATCCTGAAATTTTAATTTGCCTTGCCGATAAAGAAAACAAAATTATTATTTTCGAGAAATCAAAATATTTTAATCTCTTGCTACAAGAGTTTTCTGGAGATAATTTTCTTAAATTGAATTCTAACCCACTGGATAAAGATTTAACCGACTTTCGAGCGATGCTCCGAACAGTCGATAAATATGTAAATAAACACAATTTTAGACTACAAATGCAACCTCAAGCACAATTAAAGACATCATACGCGCTTTTCAAAACGCACAAGCCAAATTTTTCAGAAGATTTTCCTATCCGACCGATCGTTAATCAAATGAGCACCATTGGCACAAATTTATCAAAAAAATTTTTTATGCCTATTTTCGAGAAATTTCCACTAGGATTTGGCATTCAATCAAGTCTCGAATTCGCGAATCGGTTTAAAACTGCAAAATTACCAGTAGATAAGATAGAAGTTTTCTCTTTAGATGTAAAAAAACTTTTTCCGTCTGTATGTACAAAAACACTCATTGAATTTTGTATTGAAGAAATTTATGTACGAAATCGTGCAGTCAAAATGCTCCCGAGATATCGAGAAGACGGTAAACTTCTTCCGCTTATTCCCAAAAATTTACTCAAAAATATTCTTACACAAACACTCACTCATTTTACTGAAGTAGAGGTTAATGGTAATTTCTTTAGACAGCGCACTGGCCTTTCAATGGGTGATGTTACTAGTCCAGTACTCGCAAATTATTTTTTGCACCGTATTGAAAATAAAGAGATCAATAAAATGAAGTCCGAAGGGCTAATTTTAAGTTATTTTAGATACTGTGATGATTGTCTCATTTTTGCGCCGAAAGGATCTCGAGAAAAAATCACACAGCGATTTGAAAATTTCCATCCTTCTATTGTTTATTAGCTTGATCTGCCTCAAAATAAAGAATTAAAATTCCTCGATTTTTGCATCTATGAGAGTGAAATAAGTAAAAATTTTGAAATAAAAAGTGCTCCAAAAGAATCAATTACAATGGATTCAAAAAGAGCCGTCGCACCAAAAAACATGAAAATTGGCATTCTTAAATCAGAGTTTATAAGAGCAAAAATAAGAAATTCGGAGAGAGAACAACTTAACAAAGCTTATGATAATCTTTCCCAAAAATTTGAGACTTTAGGATACTCACCAAAAATCATAACAGCAGCTAAAGAGCATGCACAGGCAAATAAAATTTCGGATAATAAAATAAATTGGGCAGAAAAAATCATTGAAAATCCAGATCGCAACCATTGTTTACCGATTCCTTATACAAGCGAAAGAGTTTCAAAAGTCGCAAGCGACTTAAAAAAACTTGTCAAAACAGTAACACCTGAGTTCAATTTGCGAATCTCTCACAAGACAATGAATATTAGGAATACTATTATTTCGAAACTTTATAGTAAAAAGGATCCTTTAAATGCAGTAAATGCTATTTATGAGTTTTCTTGTGTTTGCCCATCGAGGTATATCGGCGAAACGATTAATGTCAGAGCTCGAATAAATCAGCATTTTACACCTTCACATCAGGGTAAACCGTACTTGCATATAACCGAATGCGAGAAGTACCAGAAGGAAATGAATGAATCGGGACTTGACCCCAAAAGTTTTTTCCAAACTAG